AAGGAGCTTTCTGCAGGGCAGCAACAGTCTATCTGCACTGTTGCATGCAGCTCCTGAGCAACGGAAATGTGGCTCCTGTGACTGCAGAACTAATTCCTAAATTCTACTTAATTTTAAAATAGCCACATGTGGGTAGTGGCTACTATGATGAATTTAGGTTCCAGTCCTGGCTTTACCACTGACAAGAAACGGGACCTTAGCCAAGTTATTCAACCTTTGAACTTTTAGTTCCTTCTGTAAAATTAGGACAGCAACTTCACTCACTTCACAGGCCAGTAGTGCCTAGAAAGATTCACTGTGTTACTGTCATTATTACAGCAGTCTTCCCTTTGGAACAGGGGAAGATGTTCCAAAACACCCAGTGGATGCCTGAAAACACAGATAGGACCAAACCTTACATATATTATGTTTACCTATGATAAAGTTATCTTACAAGTTATGCATGAGATTAGTAAAATAAAACAATCCTAACAATATTCTGTAATAATAGTTACTTAAACCTTAAAAATTGTTTTTTTCTGGAATTTTCCACTCAGTATTTTTGGGCTGTGGTTGACCTTGGTAACTAAAATTACAGAAAAAAACACTGAGGATAAAAGGGAATGGCTGTATATACTAATCACAGGCTCACAACTGCTGGAATTTCACAACACACTGCTGCATGAGAAAGACACATGAAAAAACAATATATGCTAACTCTTTAAAAAGTCTATCACAAGGCTGGGGATTTAGCTCAGCCACATAAACACCTGCCTGGCAAGCGTGAGGTCATGAATTCAAACCCTGATACCAAAAAAAAAAAAAAAAAAAAAAATCTATCACTTACTATGAAAAACTTGTGTTAAAAGATATTCACCAAGGGCAGGCGAGGTGGTGCATGCTTATAGTTCCAGTACTCAGAAGATTGAGGCAGAAGGATCACCAGGAGTTTAAGGCCAGCCTGGGCTACACAGTGAGTTAAGGACCAGCCTGAACCACATAACGAGACCCTGTCTCAAAAAACATAACAAAAAAAGTAAGAAAGAAAAAAAGATTTTCACCAAAATATGTGGAATGGTTATGACCTAAGTTGATCTGTCCTTCATATTTATACTTTCTACTTCCCTATAAAGTGTACATAAGGCTTTTTAAATAAAAATAATTAAACCTTTTTTCCCTCCCCATTTCTAATTAAGTGAAAGATCCATGGAGTCCTCAATATACATACTAGGAACAACTTCCCTTTTCCTCACATTCCATGGGCCCAGAAAAATGGCCAGTCCACCCCTCACAGGGCCTTCTTCCACCCATCCTGTCCTTCCTCTGTGACTCCGAAACACGAGTGGGTCCCCAGGACACAAGTTTCTAGGCCAACTCTTTAAATAGGCCAAAACCTTCCTGGGAGAGGAGCTCCCTGGCATGTCATCACATCCCAGCCTCCATACTTTGTGAGCTGGGCTGGACACTGATCTAACACTTTACCACAGTTGTGTTCAGTCATGTAAGTAGAGTAACCTAAATTTTTGAGGTGGTTGAAATTTTTTTCTTGGCAAGCACCACTCCTGAATTTGTAGTTAATACTGTGACAGTGACAAAGTACAACGAAAGTGACATGGCAGAATGTCTAGAACAGCATGAATTGGTTAATACTGCAATTGTCTGGAAGTTCAAGTTGCTAAGAAGCTCACAGAGTTGCCCACCTTCTCCTTGTCAAGAATTCCTTGTCATCCTGCAGATCATTTTCAGGGGTCACTGTGTTCCTTTACAAGAATACTGACTGAGAACAAAGTCAACTCCAAGGACTGCCCCCGGCTCTGCAGGCACAAAGGTGGAGACACTATGTACCTTCAAGAAGTTTACATCTGCGGGTCACATCAAGGGGCGAATAAACAAAAACAAGGAAGCAGACCAAACAACAAAGTTTAAAAAAAAAAAAAGTAACAGCTACTACAACAGCTTCCCTAGCCCCACAGACTCAGATTCCTGTTTATCTGCTTTTCATCAGAATGAAAGGGCACTATTTCTTTTACAGCACTTAACACTTTATATTTGGGCCCCTTCCGGTAATTTAAAAAAATTTCCCCTACGACACTGTCAACACGCTGAGAGTTGGGACTGTGGTCAGTATAGGTGCCCAACACATACTAGGACGACAACACTAATCTCTGAAATCAGTGAGACGACTAATCCCCCTTCAATTGGATCTTGTGGCACGTGAAATGTAAGGTCCGCATTGCTTTTTAAGCCAGGGACCCGGGTCCCAATGTTCCCTGCAATGAGCTCAGACTAAAGATTCAGAGACCGAGTCTGAGACAAAAGCAGGAAAAACAAAGATTAAAAAACAAACAAACAAAAAACCTTCCATTAGGGCGTGGTCCTCACCAGGCCCAGCTGAGGGAAGCAGAGCCCTTTCTTCTGGCTAAAAATAACCAAGTGCTCCACGCTCCCAAAGTAGGAGGACAAGAAAAAAGCACTAGGGAACCTCACCAGAATAGCTCTGCCCAAACTCTGTTCGCAGCCCACGCCAGGACGAACCCTGTTTCCTGAAGACCCAAGAATCATGCGACGCTCGCCACAACCGTCCCCTGCGTGTACCGGGGAGCAAATACGGGCACGAATCAACTCCAGAATTCGGGGAGGCACTGCCAGAGAACGGGGGTCCCGACGAGGTAGCTGCGGTGCTGTGGGACCTTGGGCAAGTCAATTAACATTGGGGTCACATCCCCTCTTCTATAAAACGGGGACCTCAACAGATGCCCTTAATGTCTGAAGAAGGTAAAAGGTTTGCGGATCCCTTAGTGAAAACAGAACGGGACAGCCGGGTCCCGGCTCCGCATGTGCCAAGTTTAAACTCGCTAAGGGAAGCATGAGAGCGGCAGCGGCGGCAGGGTAAGCAGAGCCCGCACCGCCTGGCAGGTCCCCTCGGACGGGCCCTGAAGCCCCCGCCTGGAACCCACTCACCTCAAGAGACGGGTGCGCTCGAACCAGCTCCCCGACGGACTGCGGCAGCCGCACTCGCAGCCCGTCTACGAGCAGCGGCATAACGAAAGCCGCAGCAGGCTGGGTCTTGGGACGCGGCGGCCTCCTTAGTCCGGCGCTGCCGCCGCGTCCCGTCTACCCTGCCCACTGCTGGGAAGTGTAGTCCAGGCTAAAACAGCATAGCTCCAAGAAACCCAGGAACTGCAGGGTGCCTCAAGACCTCACGGGAAACGTGGTCCAAACACGAGGCGGAAGTCTGCCCCCTCTGTAAGGAGCGCTGGGAAATGTAGTCTCAGAAGCGTGGGCGTAAACTAAGGTCTTTATCAAGTGGCAGCCTAACCAGAGGGCAGATTTTGGATTTCGAGTTTCGCTTCAAGGCCCTGCCCCACCTTTCCTTAGGTGCGGTACCTTACTTAAGTTTGGGAATGTCTGCCCCACAGGATTTTACACAAGTAAAATCTTTTTAAGGCAGGGTCTCACTATGTAGTTCAAGCTGGCCTTGGACTGTAGCCAAGGCTGTATCCTCTTCCCTCAGCCTCTGGAGTGCTGGGATTACAGGCATGTGCCACCACGCTCGATTTGATGTAAACCATCTTAAATAGACAATAGGTCCGTGCTGTACTTGGCGGCACACATCAGTAATTGGTCCTGGTGCTTGCCTCAAACCCCAGCTCTCTGGGTGGCCAACGGAGGAGGATCACAATTTTGCGCCCAGCCTGGAGAATTTAAGTCAACTGCAAAAACGCTGGTTGAGTCATCAGTAACATGGGCACACAAAACTATCAGTAAAACGTGGTGCTCAGAGGTGCACGGTCACAACGCAAATGGGCTGGGAAATAAGCCACTATAGGCACCCATGGTGGAAGGTATCTCCCCACTTGACTGCTTCAAGACCGCAGGAATTATTCAAGGAGTACCAGCTTTCCACCTCACGTGGTGCAGGAGCTTCTTCTTGTGCCTCCAATCCCCCCTCAGTTTACCTGCCCCATTCAACAAAAATACAAGTAGAGAAGTGATCGTACGAAACATAAGTGACAGCAGGCCCAGCTTACTCAGCTTCTTACCCAAAATAATTTTATTTCTTGCAGTCAGGAAAGTACTTCTCTATTATCACATATATGAACACATTTGTATGTCTGCACCCAAACATGAAAGTCAGTATCAACTGTTAAAAGTTGGCCTCGACTTGCTGAAAGTTATACAAATAAGACTTTAGAAAGCACTATCATCTTAATACATTCCTAGACAACAGGGCTCTAAGCGACTTGTAAAGCTGCTAAAAATTGCGTAAGTCCCAAGCAGGAATATCTGAGCTCAGATCAAGGTTGGAATCCAGAGTGATATTTTAAGCTGTTACCTTCACCAAGTTACTTAACATCTCTTCAAGCCTGGTGGACGTAGTGGCGCATACCCGTGACCCCAGCACTGGGGATGGTTAAGCAGGAGGATGCCGGAGAGTATGGTTTGAGACCAGCCTGGGCTACAACAGTAAGACCCTGTCTCAAAAACACAAAATGGTTTTTAACTTCTAGGTGACTTTTTTTTCCCAAGTAACTTCAGGTTTATGAATTCCTAGACCAGTAATGGCAAATCTATCCCATGCATGCTGCAGACTGATTAGTATAACTAAAAGCTCTAAAAAGTTCACCTTCAGTGCTTTACACCATGTCCAAGTTCAGACTAAATTACCCGCCCCAATAAGAAGAAAAATCATCTTGCTCACCTGCCCCTAATGCCATTAGGTTCATGTAATTTCAAAGATATTTCACTATTTTTCTATAGATGTTCTTTCAAAGCATGTAATTTCCTTTGGAAAGGTGTTTGTTTCCTTGCACCTATTCAGGCCTGTCAGGCTGCACGTGCTTAGGGGCAGTTGTGGACACTTCACAAGCCATCCTCACCACAGTGTGTTGTTTATTTCTGAACATTCCAAAGTATACACTGGTGACAGTGAGGACTCAGGAGCAGTTTCCCAACATAAAAAAACAGTGCATAACATAACAAACAACATCAGTAACACATACACACAGACATCAAGAGAATGTCTATGTAAGAAGTCTTTTTATTAAGGTACCCCTCCTTATTGACATAACAATTTAACCAGGTTAACCATGTTGTATTTTCACAATGGATATTTTATTCAACTTGCTTTAAAATAACTTATTTGTAAATATATACATTCTTCTGTATTATAACTACTTCCTAAATCAGAGACCCCACTCACTTCCTACTAATTTCTGTGGATACAATTTCATTTACTTATTTATACAGGATACAAAAATCCTTATTTTTGTCAGCAGTTAAAAAAGAGAACTTTAAAGGTTCTAAATTACTTTGAATCAAGTCACCAAAAGAAAATCACCAATATTCAAAACCTTTTTTAAAGCAATAAAAATTTCCTTTTTCCAAAAAAGTTATTTACAGACAATTCAAACTACATTGCCATAAATGTAATTATACAAGAGTGTATACAACAGCCCTAGGAAATATTTCATTAGGAAATACTTGTGATCAAGAAAATACTGCTTGCCTTTAAATAAATAGGTGTGGCAGATAATAAATATACTTTTCACAAAGACACAAAGTATACATATAAGGAACAAAAGGGAAATATACTTAAGGTTCAAACTCTGGACTCTGAAAGCACTTGCACGAAATTGTTCAAAGCAAGGCTGAGAATCTTTTCTCTCGGTGTTTAGTTTCAAAAACTTGGAGACTTGCTCCAGAAGGATTTCACCAAGCTATATCAATGATATGCACAACCATTAGATGGAGTCAGCAGGAGTAACTTTGAACTATTGTTGACAACAAACCATTTTACCAAATAACCAAGAAACACTTCAAAAAAACTAAATGATACTGGTCAAAACCAAATTAGCTGGTGTAAATAAGCAGGTTCATTCTAACAGAATGCCTGGGAATCAAAGGATAAAATACTGTCTTATGTTTTACAAAAGCCCAAACCCACTTTCTCAACATGAATTACATTTACCTGGAGCTCCACTTTTCTTTCAAATCCATTTTTACACTGAGTACATTATTTGTCTGCTCCTGTTTCATAAATTCCTCTCTCTTCCCTTGTCTTCTACAGTCCTCTGAAGTCCCTGGAGAGGTTCAACGCCAGTTCAAAAGTGCAGTATCTTAGACCAGCTCTGGCATCGCCCCACTTTCCATCCATCTTCTCTGAACTCAGTAAAGTTCCAACACAGAAACATACTTACAGCAGAAGCAAACAATATAGACAAAATAAAAATTCTGATTTTTGTTGTTTTCTGAGTCAGGGTCTCACTATGTAGTTCAGTTTGGCCTTGAACTGTAAAGGATTTGTCACTGAAATCATACCAAGGAAGTTCTGTGACTATGGCTCTAAAAAGATCCTATGTTAAAAAAAAAAAGACCATTTGTTAAAATGGGCTAGTGCTGATATAAAAATTTCACAATGACATTTTTAAAAAATACATTAAATTAACAAGCAGTCTTCAACATTTACCACTCTGTAAAATATTGCACATGATAGTCTTCTGTCTATGAGAAGCAAAAGAAAACAACAAAAATATGTCCATTCAGATACTAGATGATGTCTATAAATAGAATGTACAGTGCCTAAGCTATGTCCTACACTCCAGTCAATGCCGAAACAGTATGAGCCTGGGCACTGAAGGCTATACTGGGAAGAACGATGCACCTCAGTCACAAATTCGTGAGACCAGAGGGGAGTGGACAGGCATGTACACCACGGGTGGGGAGCCCACACTACTGGAAGGACTTCGGAAATGTGCATCAAAGGAGCTCGGTGTAATTCCAATCACAGAATCGTTCTGAGGCACTTCACCTTTCAAAAAGTCATCATCTTCATCTTCTATTATCTCCTGGGATACAAAATCCAGGTTATCAGTAAGTTCATAAATAATGGTTTGAAAGTTTTCAGGAATTCCTATTTGGCACAGTGGTATGCACTGTAATCCCAGCTACCGAGGAGGCTGAGGCAGGAGGGTCACTTGAGCCCAGTTTATAATCAACCTGGACAACACAGCAGAGCTCATCTCAAAATCAAAAAATCCTTTCCACAAGAATGTGCTAGTTTGTTGATTCTTTCTTTCCCTCTTTTTGAGACAGAGCTCACTATGTAGTTCAGGATGGCCTTGAACTCATTATTTAGTCCTGGCTAGCCTAGAACTTGTGGCAATCTTCCCACCTCAGCCTCCTGAGTGCTAGGATTACAGACATGTGACACCATGCTTGGCAGGAATGTGCCATTTCTATAAAGATGAAGATAAAATATCTTAACTTCAAAATTAAGTACTTTTGATATTTACTTCATTACAAACAACCCGAACAATTGCTCACCATACTTTATAATTAAGCTCAGTGATGGCATAGAACATAACATGGCATTCTTGCTCAGTGTTACAGCCCTTATATCTAAAAAGACTGAATGAAAGACATTAATCTTTCCAAAGATTACTTATTAAATGTAAGAGGGAAGGGGAAGGTAGCTCAGTGGTAGACCACTTGCCAGTACGCACAAGGCCCTGAGCTCCATCCTAGTACCAAAACAGCAACAAAAAGAACATTATTCAGGCCTGGACTTTTGTAAAGGTAAAATGAATAAAACACAGCATTAATAAAGTCTAACAGTTCTACTTACTATGTGACTATGGCCCACATCCACAAAAAATTTGTGAGAAAGTATGCTACATCATAAATTTACCTTTTTTACAGGTTTCTTAAATTCCAGAAGCTCTTCATCATTCATGTCTTCCCATGTCTGATAAATAGGATCAATGAATTTCTTTGACCTGTCATTAGGGATCACATTTCAAAGTCCAGTGAAATATTTCAAAAGCTACAACATGTTATACCTTTTTCTCACAAGATCTATTTTCCAAAACCAAGACTATAGCTCAAATAATATTAAAAACTATTCTATGTTACCATAACTGATGTGGCTCTTATTCTGTTGACTGCATTCCCTCCTACAGATGAGACTTCAAATAGCTATTGTTTCTCATATTTCAAATGGAACTGTTTCTAAGCTACAAGGAGTGATCACAACAAACAGTGCATGTTTAAATTTTATTTACTCATTTACTGTTTTTTTTTTTTTTTTTTTTTTATCTTTTTCGTTTTTATCAGTACCAGGGATCGAACTTACGACTGCCTGCTTGCAAGACAGGCGTTTATGCCGCTGAGCTAAACCCCTAGCCCTTATTTACTGTTTTTTTGACAGTTTCACTATGCAGTTCAGGCTGGCCTGGAACTCACTTTGTAGCCCAGGCAGGCTACAAACTCACCGCAATCCTCCCATCTCAGCCTCCCAAGTGCTGGGATTACAGGCATGTACTGCCAAACCTGGCTAAATTTTAAAAAAGAAGTTTTAACAGAAAAAAATACATTGCCAAGAATGATGAGCATATTCAAAGTGTGGGGGAGTACTCCACGGGGGTTCAGAGATACCCTAAATCTCAAATGTAGCAAAACCAAGTACCTATCACAGTTAAACTCACCGCTGTTAGTGGCCAGCGCTTGGAATGACCTACCTCTTAAGCACACAAGGATCAAAGGGGAAGAAGGTGTCAAGTGGGTTTGTGCAGGTCTGCACTGAGTCCCCGCCAGCTGTGTTTCTAATAACTGGTAGCATCTGCCGATTGTTCCTCTCAATGATAGTGTAGCAGAAGACGAGCTGATATTTACTGCAGAACACCAAAACCAACACAGATGGAGGTGACAGGCTGGAATTACTCTAGCATGGATGCAACACATGTGAGAATTGTAATGACTACAGCACTACTGCTAACATAGTAAGTACAGGAAAGTAACATAAAACAACACTTTTACAGCAGTTTCCTGGGTCTGTTACAAGTTTGCTAAGAAAGAAAATGTGGCTACTAGCACTTGGAATATGAAAGTGGGCTTAGATTAATAGGTATTATGAAAAATTAGTATGTCTGCAAAGCAGAATTCTTAGTTTACACAGATAGATGATTTATTTCTGTTTGCAAAAACACTGGGGCACTGATAAAAGGGGACTCAGCAGCTACTTAGGGGGCAACGGTAGTTACTGACAGGAAACTTGGTTGCTGCTGAAGAAAACCTTCCACTCTCAGGGTAGCCAGGGATTTACTCTTGGGTCCTTAGGTCATTCCTGGCATTTTAAGCAAATCTTTCTACTTCTAAAAGAAATACATGGCATCGCTCTCCTTCCTGGTGGGAGTATAAATCAGCAAATCCATACAACTGGTGCAAGCGAAGCCCTGAATCTCCAACAGATCCCAGCTACTGGACTTCGGAGTGTGTGACGAGGAATAGGACCTTGCCAAGAGTGTTTCTAAGCTATTGTTCCCAATCCTTAAAAACTAACACAGCCTAAATCTCAAAAAAGCTTGCTACAAAAATCAAACCAAGCCAACCACAGAGCTGAAATAAACGTAAAGCCCTATGTGTCAATATAGCTGCAGCTCAGAACCATCAGGAAGCAAAACCCACAGCTGCAGACTGATACACACAAGCTCCTAGACACTGACCTTTATTTTAGTCCCCTGCTCCTTGCTGCACGTTTGTCTCCTTGCCTCAGTGGCACATGCCAACCCTGAACCTTGAGCCTCTCTGACCAACTGGGTTGTCAGATGCTGCCCTCTACCTTTTCTTGAGGTTTTTCCAGAAGTTGCTGGCTCTGCTTTACTTTATCAGTCCATACCCTTCCAACTGCTCCCTGTCTTTGTCAATGTGCATGAATCTTCTACCTGCTCGATGCTACTACTTCTTGGTTCCTTTTCTAATCCTTTTAATTTTTCTTTTGGTGTCTTTTTATTTAGGTAGTGCTAGGGATCAATGTAATCGAACCTAGGATGCCACACATGCCAAGCAAATGCCCTACCACTGAGCTACAACCTTCAATCCTCTTGAACTAGATGCTCAGCAAATAATTAAGGCTACTGAGTAACAGCAAGCTGCTTAAGAAGAACATGACATAAAAGAACAATAATCTGAACTGTTTAAGATTTTAAGCTATGATCCTGCCTGAATAACCTACTTAAATGCCCGAACTCTAATAAATCACTGTCTCCTTGAAGCAGAGTAACTCAGTGAGTGCTAACAAAGGAACCACACTGGGTACATTTGTGCTTTTAAATTTTTGCTGCTGGAGATTGAGCCTAGGACTCCATGCACACTAGGTGAGTGTTCTACCACAGGGCCACACCCCAACCCCTGCTGCCTGCACTTATGTCTTGGCTCTGCAGTCTATATGACATTAAACAAGGAATTTAATTTCTTTGTGCCTCCATCTCCCCATTTATAAATGGGGTAAATAAGACAATCAGGAGGTTGTATGAGTATCAAATGAGTTCTATGTGAAGTGTTAGATTGTGCCTAACACACAGGAAAGGCTAAGTATTAGCAGTAGCTACTTGGCCTGAGATCAGAAAGTTCTTCTGTAAACTAATTTACTGGTGACCATTTACCTCATGACCAGTTTATTTTTGTTGGTATTACAGGTGTCAATCTGTTCAGAACCTCCAGTTTATATATTCTCAGCTTATAGTTGAGTTAGGCAAGTTGCTAGGCTTTTGTCGAATTATCCCCTTCGACGAAGTAGTAAAAATTTCCAGTGACACCAAAGTATAAAAACAATAGCTTCAATGCAGTATTTCCTATAAAAGCTGGGTTATTAGTATTTTAATTTTTTGAGACAGGGTCTTGCTATGTAGTTTAAGCTGGCATCAAACTCACTATGTAGCCCAGGCTGGCCTTGAACACAAGGTAATCTTCTTGCCTCAGCCTCCTGAGTGCAGAGATTACAGGTGTGCACCACCATGCTCAGCTTTTAATGTTCTATTATTAATTTTCAAAAACAATGGAATTTTATAAGACAAACACAAACACATATTTACTTTGAGAACCCTACCACAATAGTTCATCAACCTCACACATTTACTTTTAAATAACATCCATAAAAGAAACTGTAAATAACTTACTTTGTGATAGCAGCAAAGAAGTTAACCACGGAAGGCAGGCAAATCTTCAGAGGGTTTAGCTGGCTCATCACAATACGCTGAAAATTCAGACTCTGAAGGTAGCTTAGACCTTCAATTTAAAGAAGAAAAAAGTTTTTCAAAAGGTACAAATACAATAGCAAAGTCTAAGATATCTTCAAAAGCACAAATTATCACATACTAAGAAAACAACTGTGTACACTTCAGCAGCACAAATACTAAAAAAAGTTTGGGCCAGCAGTGGTGACACATGCCTATAATTCCAGCACTTATGTGGCTGAGACAGGAGGACCCTGAGTTTGACTCCAGCCTGAACCACACAATGAGACCCTATAGCCAGCAGCAGAGTATATGTCTCACATTGATTTGTTCATTCATTCTTGCGGTACTGTACTGAAGATTAAACTGTGCTTTATCCCAAGCCCCTCCCCTTTTCTTTCTTTTTTGAGAGAAGGGCTTCTTGAATTGCCCAACTAGGACTCAAACTTGCAATCCTCCTGCCTCAGCCTCCCAGTGTCTTGGGATTACAGGTGAGTGGCATCATGCCTAGTTTTTTTCATTTTTAAAATGCTTTAAATAAAGGTCGGATTAGACACATCGTGAGGCTATTGCATTCACTTATGGCTGAAAGAGCTTTTCTGAATATAGTTGATTCCTTTAAAGACCCATGTAAGCACAAGATCTCTGTGTGCTATAACTATGAAAATGTGGAATGCACACATTTTTAAGTTCAGCATACACTGTGTTTATAGAAAAGGAAAAACCATGAAGTATGATTACAGCTAAAATCCAACATGCTACAATACAAAAGTATTGTTTAAAATTGTATGTCCTGGATTATGAATTAAGTTCAGTGTTATTTTCAGGTATGATTAACTTATATTTCTTTCCTTTTTAGACAAAACCTCTGCCTTGGAACTAAGTTAGGCATGGTTAGGGGCCCCTTTCCTTCAGTAACTCAGAAGGCTGGGGCATAAAGATCTCAAGTTTGAGGATAGCCTGGGTGATATCATGACAGCCTTTCTCATATACCTCTCCTATACTGGTAAAATACAGGCACTTTATTATTTTAAGAAGCAAGCAGACAACTTGTAGCTTGTGCTTAAGACTATCTTCTACGAAGTTTCTTCAATATATACTTTGATTTAAAAGTTTACATAAAAGGGCTGTTACAACCTATAAGAAAATTTTCCTTTAATCAAGATCCCAGGCATTTACATTTATAAGGAAAGCAGAATTTCCCTTAGCTTGTAAAGCTTTATCTTCCTACTAGCTCATATAACTTTAATGCCTACATCTTTTTAGCATGCAGGGCATAAGTAAATATATGTGGCAGCACACATGTGCAATTCAGTAAAGAGCTCTGGTTCTTACTTCAACAGACTGTGTCGCCAAAGGACAGGCAGGTGTTGATATCTGGAGATGGTTTTAGTTGTCACAATTGATAAAGTATATGAGGGGGATATGGAGGGGAAGGCAGAGGCATCTGGTAAGAGGATGTGAGGGATGCTGCTAAAAAACATACAGGACAACCCCCCGCCCCCGCTGAAGGATTATTAGGCAAAACGTCAAGAGCCAAGGCTGGGAAACCACGCCTTACGGGAAACAGCTGCTAACTTATCTGACTGTCTATGAAAATAAAACAACCTAAACTGATTCAATTACATTATTCTTGGGACCTTCTTCATCTGAAAAATACACTAACAAGTTTCGTCTGTTGCAAACAGCCTTAGAAGTCAGCAAAACTGAAAACTGATGAATTATTCCTCCATACTTCAGAAAGAGGAGCATAATCCTATGACCCCAGCTTTACAATCAGCCTACAGTGGCTTCAGCCTCTAATCCTGGCAATAACTACATCACAGTCTTTCTGTGGCCAGTTCCCAGGACAAGGACGGGGTGCATGGGAAGTGCTGTGCAGGGCATCAACACAGCACAGGAACTCAGCCCTATCGCTAAAGAAGGCTTCACTTTCATTCTCTGAAGTAGGGGTTCTCAACCTCAAACAGATCCACAGTTAAAGAGAAGGCTTGAAAAGCTTCTAGGAACCTGTGAAATGCTTGGAATTACTTGTAGAAGTGTGAGTGCACATGCATTTTTCTGAATCCATAATTTCCATTACAATTTCCAAAAAATCAAAGAATTACCATTTGAATTATAACAACTACGAAAATCCAGTTGAGACCATCAATCCTACTTACTGACCTTCTTTTAGGTTGCTACCTAAAAGCTGCTTGTGTCTGAAAACAAAGGTGTAGAACACAGCTTGGCAGGCTGAATAAAACGGGCCGTGAAGAGCAACATCACAAAAGGCCTTTGCTCCTGAATCCTGGTTATTAAGGTATATGTGCAGCCAGTTAACCAAAAGATCGAGGCATGACTTTACAGTACTGGAAAGAAGAAAAGTTCAAGTCAACTTTACTTGTTCATGAGAAAACTAGAATGATATAAAGACCCACAACTGCCACTCATTATGAACCACAGAAAATTCACAGGCTTTACGTATTACCCTGGTTGAAGATATAGCTTCTCAGTGATTAAACAGTTGCCCAGGACACATGAATCCCTGGTTTTAATTCTTAACACTGGGTGGGGTGAGGGGGGAACCCCAAACCAAACAGTCAAACCAAACAGACAGAGAAAAGCAGAGGAAGGGAAAGGAAGACGGATTGTGGAAGACAACCTTTCAATTACAATATAGGTGAAGCAGCACCCACCTTCTGGGAACAACAGGTAGGCCCCTAAGGACATCCCAAGAGTTGGAGGACAGTTTCTCCTAATCAACTCTAAAGGCCTTCTTGGATGGGCTGCTAGCCCTGAGGATGGTATGATCAAAGAACCAACATCTCACAAAGAAAAGAACCAGTCTGATGGGCTCCACTACTCTGCATGGTATTCTGATGTAGTCCTATGGTCAACAATTTAAATCAGGTGGATTTAGTTGTTCCAAAAGAGTTTTTAAGAGCATCTTTGCCTACAAAGAAACTGGCTTTGGATTACTTTTTTGTTTGGTACCAGGGTTTGATCCTTAGAGGCCTTATATATGCTAAGGACACGCTCTATCGCTGGGCTACATTCTCAGCCATTCCTATTACCTTTAAAAGGGTTTTCTTCAGCTCTAACAGATACACTTGATTTGGAATGCTCATGAAAACTGACAACACTATGAAATCAATCAAAACAGTATATAATGCTATACCAAGTGAATGAAGACAAATGTATTTCAGATTCAAATGAAACCACTCTGAACAGCTACCAAAAGCTCTGCCTGAGAATTTACATCTAAAACAAGAGACACTCTATTCTGAAAATGCTTACTAGCAATATGAATGTCTTACATAGAGTGGGGTGGGGGATAGATTTTTTCACTTTAAAGATAGGCCCCCCCAAAAGACAGATATTTCTTTGACATGACACAATGCTGTCATTTTTTTTTTTTTTTTTTGTCTTTTTTCTTTTTATCGGTACCGGGGATCGAACTCACGACTGCCTGCTTGCAAGGCAGGTGCTTATGCCGCTGAGCTAAATCCCCAGCCCGAATGCTGTCATTTTTATAAAGCATGATATTAACAAGTACTTGCAAAATTAGGTTACTTACATAAGAGGAACAAATTTAGCTCTTGCCAAAAAGCTCCCAATATAATTTCCAGCAGCTTGCCTGATGATGGCAGGATTATTTGGATCCTGTAATTTTTTCCAGAGATGTTCCAAAAATGCTTCTGCAAATCCCTATATAAAGAGAATGTAGAGCCAAGGATATAGCTCAGTGACACAACGCCTGCTTGGCAAGCAAGAGGCCCTGAGTTCAATTCCCAGTTACCTCCCCAACCCCTTCTCCCCTGCCAAAATTAGAACATGTTGGCCTGATCACTTATTAATGCCTAAGCTATTCTGGCTATCAGAATCCCAAGATTTTTTCACTTCTTCAATGTGGGAAGCAAGTTCTAGTATCTCAGTTATGCCACTAAATAATAAATACAGTAAGTTTTTGAAACATCATAAAAGAATACTAAAAACTGAAGGTATCTCAGGTATGAAATAGCCCAGGGGACTCTAATCCTAGCTGAGCATCTATATCAATGCTAAGTACAGGATATTTTGCTGGACATCTGTCCCAGCTACTGCAGAGACCTAGGTAAGAGGGTCATCTGAGCACTGGAGTTCCAATTCAGGTTAAGCAAAACAGTAAGACTGCCTTACAACAATAAAAAAATTAACGCAAACAATACAGATTCAGTAGATCTACGACAGGGCTATTGAATCTGGATTTTGTAAGACCCTTAAAGGTGAATTCCAGCCAAAACTGGAAGCAAGAAATCAGCAAACTTCTCTGAAATAGGTATACAGTATCTTCTCAAATGGTAAAGTATCCTCCGTCTTTGAGCACAATGAATTTAACCATACAGAGAAATATGAACTAAAATACAAAGCTAGTATTTGAATGAGGATATGAATCATAGAAAAACAAAGGTTCTTATGAAAGTCCATCATCATTTAACTTCTCTCAAATAGCTAGCTCTTTTCTAAAGCTAACAACATAAGGTTTGGGTAGATTAAATTTAACTTTCTTACCCATCATCTAAAAAGTAGCTACCAAAAAGTTGCAAAGAAAAGTCAATGGAGTCTTTTGTATTTTCTTCCCCCACCAAAAGAAAGCCAAAATCTGAAGTTTTAAAATTCAGGATTAAAAAGTTTAATTGAGGCTAGTTAAGACTCAACGCTGAGAAAGAACAAAGGAACAGTTAAATTTTCCATATGATTTTTTTTTTTGACACAGGGTCTTGGTATGTTGTCCAGACTAGCTCTGAACTATGTAACCCAGACTGGCCTCGAAACTCCCAGCAATCCTGCCTCAGCCTCCTGAGTGCTGGGATTATAGGCATGCACCACCAGGGCCAGCCGTATATAAGATTTTAATATAGTCTGACGTAAAGGGTACCACCTAGTGACCAAAGGAGAACATCTTCAGAACTCCCAGCTGCACTGACGGGCATCCACCAGTATGGAAAAGAAGGAATGTCATTGTATTAACAGTAGTAAGAAAATAAGCTCACGTAAAAGAAATTCCCATGATCTCCCTCCCACTTAGTTTTTAAGGAAATAATTATACACCAGAATAAGATAATAACCTTTTTACTTACCAATTTGAAACTACAGAGGTAAAACATGAAAAACTGTACATGACAGGAGGCATGGGTGGGCAACAGGAGTTTGTCAAAGATGGCTATCAAATCACGATATAAATCCTTTGTTTTGTTGTTATCAATCTTACCTACAGAGAAAATTTGGCATGTCAGTTCTTTAAATAGCTCTTTTCAAGCTACCAGTTTCATTTGTCGATTTTTAAAAAAGAATACAATATATTTAAGATCTGCAGCATATGACCTACTAGGCTACAATTAAAACAAAAAGCTGGACTGCAGATTTTCAAGTGTATTAACCCATGACTTAACAAAACTGTCTCAAAACATTAAGGCTGCAAATCCCTGGGTGCAAAGGCCCTGGGTTCAATCCTGGGTTCAATACAGGGCAGAGGATTTAGCTCAGTAGCATAAATTCCTGCTTGGCAAGCACAAGGTTGTGAGTTTGAACCCCAGTACCAAAAGAAAAAAAAAATCCCCAGTACAACAGCAACAACAACAGCAATGAAAACAGTAATTACCCAGAACTGACAAGGAAGTAAGCAGACTGTCACTTCACACACACATTTGTGAAGCTATAAATCTACATATTTTTGAAGGGCAACTTTATGAAACAAAAGATATAACTGGCACAGCCAGAAATTTATCACAAGGAAAATAACTGAAGACATATGTATAGGATTTTATTATGCTGTTATTTATAGTGAAAAAAGAAACTAGTTAAATCCATATAATCAATGAAAACTACTTTAGGCCAGGCATAGAGACATGGGTGGTAATCCCAGATACTCAGGAGGCAGAGGCATGAAGATGACTGGTTTGAGGCCAGTCCCGACAAAGATCTTGTCATAAAATAAAGTAAGTCTGAGACGTAGCTCAGAATTAGAGCACTTGTTTGGCAAGCATGAAGCCCTTGACTCAATCCCCAACACTGGGGATAAAAAAGAAAACTGCTTTAGAACAGTGAACTGTGTGAGAGTGCAGCCACAACTCAGGGAAAGGGCAGACTATGAAACACTGTTGAGTGTGACTCTCAAATCCAGGTTTATCTGGGGCTAAGGACGTAGCTTAATGGAATACTGCTTGCCTAGCATGCACAAGGCCCTCGGTTTGATCCCTAGCACCTAAATAATCAATAAAGCCATAAATATACACATGCTAACAGAAAAGGAAAACATATCAACATGCTAATAACGATCCTTTGACTAGCAGGAATGTGGCCATTTAAATTGTCCTTATCCTTTCCTATACTTTCAAGATTTTGTCTAATCAACATGTCTTATTTTTTAAATGGCAGAACAGTTAAAAAGAATAGTAAGGTCAACCACATTCATGTCTTCTCATGCTAAATAACTAGCCTCATTATTAAATCTTTCGAAGTACACAGACAAAAATTTTGTGTATTTTTTATGACAAAGTATCTAGGGCAAGAAGCACACTGGTTTGTCTAGTATAGTCCCGACACCGGCATGGCAGTAGTACCAATAATTAAGTATGTAACACTAAAGGCCACGCTGCAGTGCCCACCTCTGCACCATTCTTAATGTCCTGAGCAATGTAAGTATAATTTGACCTCTGCTTCAGACTGACCAAACTCCGTAATATTTTAATGCAATAATGAAAACACTGGCTTTGACAATAAATACAACTGAGTCTCAATACTAACCCCACCATTTTCAAGCTGTGTGACACTGGCAAGAGTTGATCTCTCTAAATTCTTTTTCCTTTTTTTTTTTTTTTTTTTTTGTCTTTTTCAGTACCAGGGATCGAACTCACGACTGCCTGCTACCAAGGCAGGCGCTTATGCCGCTGAGCTAAATCCCCGGCCAATTCTTTTTCCTTTCATACTAGATTTTTTTTTTCAGGCGGGTACTGGGGATCAAACTCATGACCTTGCGCTTGCCAGGCAGAAGCTGTGCTGCTGAGCTATCTCTAGCCCTTCATAATTTTTTTTTTTTTATCAGTACTAGATAATATACAAAAGATGCCCAGTGCAGAGCCCACATTAGCTACTGAGGATCACAGGTTGTTACCATCCACATAGCAGACATCCTTGACATAGGACAAAAGCAAGGATAGCAGGATGTCCAGGCGTTCAGCTACAGGATGGACCATCTGACCAAGCTGCTCAGGAGTACCCTTTGCTTCACATTCAGGTTCTTCATCTTCATCCTTTGAAGAAGAAAAAACGGACATTTACAAATTCAGTGAAAGTGATTTAGTGGGAAAACTCTCTCAAGCGATTATTTTCTCTACAGGAAAAGGAAGCAAATACGTAAATATGTTCCTAGGCAGGGGCTCTCATTCAGGGATCTGACCAGAACCACTTATAAAATTTTTTTTGAGACAGGGTCTTGCAGTGCAGTTCAGGCTGGCCTTGAGCTCACTTTGTAGCTTAGGCTGGTCTCGAACTTGCAACGATCCTCCCACCTCAGCCTCCAGAGTACTGGGATTACAGGTGTGAGCCACCACGCCCAGCTTCACTTACGAAATTTAAAATAAAAACAGAGGGATTGGGGATTTAGCTCAGCTGCGTAAGTGCCTGCCTTGCAAGCAGGCGGTCGTGAGTTCGATCCCCGGTACCGATAAAAAAGAAAAAGACAATAAATAAATAAATAAAAGCAGATTCAGAGCTCCAGCTTGAGTATACTTTTTTTGTTGACTGTAGGATTGAACCCAGGACCCTGCCCATGCTAAGGCTCTGTTCTAGCCCTGAGAGAGCCACAGGCTAGAATGTCATTTCAAGGACCTCAGCAGACTTACTTGATCATGCAACTATCAGGCTTCCCTTGTCCCTGCTGCTGATGCCCACCCTGGTGGGCACTCTTAGTGCTGGGTTCCCTTTTCCAGGTCAGGGTATCAATCTTGAGGTTGCCGTGAGTGTTGCCTGGCAAGAACCAGCAGGTGTTCCCCTTGCCCAGCACAAAAGGAGCCGAGACCGTCCCTCTGACTGACAAGGGGTCAGAAGAGCATATCTCCCCGGCTTCAAGCTAGGATCAAAGTCTTCAGAGCAATTCATGTTCCAGAGCAACTCATAAGACCAGGCTACTGCTGCTTGCCAAGGGAGCTAAGTGTTTACTTAGCTCTTTCCCTTTCTCTCTGCTGCTCCCTGGCAAACTCTCCCACAGAACCCCTGAAGACTTAGGCTCCACATCAATTGACCCCATCAGTGCTCAGCTAATACCCAACATGGTAAACTGCAGCCTTAACATATCTAGTTGGCAAAACAAAAACTAAACTACTGTGGTTTTCTGTTTACCATTTGCTCCAGCACAAACACTAAAAACATTATATGAATGAAAATCAACCAGGTATAGTAGTGCATGCCTATAATCTCAGCACTCAGGAGACTAAGGCAAAAGGACCACTGAGAGCTCAAGATCAGCCTGAACTACATAGCAGGACCATGTCTCAAAAAATCAAAATCAAACCCCATTCCTCTCCAAAAAAGAATGAAAATATTTCACCAAATCCTAATTCAAATTAATTATACTATACAGTCAACAAGATGGCAAAATACTTATGTAAGGAATTATTTTTAGATTTGCTAAACTATTTTTAATTGTTTTAACCTAAAGCCTTGAAAACGGTAAGCCCCTTATATATATATCTTTCTATACTCTGAAATGATGAACTTCATAGACACAGATAAGCTTTATCAGAAATGCTCACCATATTAAATAATCCTTCCATGGAATCTGTCCCACTGCAAGCTTGAGCGGCTGTGTCCTCAGCATCTTCAATATCCTGCCTTGATGCATTCACCTACAACATAACAAAACAGTAGTAAGCAAAAAGTAAGTAATATAGGCACTTAAAATACAACTAGTTGAGGGCTGGAATTCATCTGCTACACATACTTCAAAGGCCACAATAGCACCTTATACAGCACAATTATAGTACAAACCTATAAACTGATTTGCATCATGAAGGAATTTTATATTATACTCAGTATTAAACATTACAATGCAAGCCTCTTACTGCATAAATAAAATCAATATAACTGTGACAAGATACTCTAAATCAGCCTCAACAGCCAATATTTATTTTGCCTGGGTATGCTCAAGACACATACATGTTTTATTAAGCATTATCATCAATTATCAGAGCAGAAATAAAGTACCAGCAAATGTGAATGATTAAATATTTTACCTCACTTCATATACCTCACTTTAACAAACTGTTCTAATCATGCCTTTTTAAACTCTCTACACATGATCTTTGCAGGCATACTTTTATTTTTGGTATCAGGAATCAAACTCAGGTTCTCACATTTGCCAAGCAGGTGCTACACCACTTAGCTACATATCCCCAGCTCTGTAGGCATACTTTAAAACGCTCCTTTAAAATACACCAGAGAAAGACTACAAGGATTACATAGGCAGTTGGCAGAACTCCAAAGGAAAGTGCATACATATCCAACTTCCAGCTCTTTGTAGATCTGCTTTCTTCCTCTCCCAGCTCCCCTACAGTAAAAATGTTTTTCTTCACCAAGACTTTGATCTTCCCAGGCCACAAACCTGCTTCAGTCTTCCAAGTTCTGACCCAGGTCTCTCACCACTTGCTCTGTGCCTATCCCTCACCAGTAACACTAAAGGAGATCTCTACCAGCCCCACTTTTAACCATCCACACTATCTCCTGAAACAGTGTCGGTCTCTTCAGTGACAAGGCCTTCCAAAAGGCACCAAAGACCACCAAATCCAAGTATTCTGCTTTTCTCAATCTTCTTCAAAATGTCAGCAACACATGATGGGGCTGCACAGGTCATTCTTAAGAATTCTCCTGCAGCATTCACACTGGCTTTCCCACCTTCTGACCACCCTGCCCCTCTGCAGCCTCACCTGTACAGTTCCATAGGTCTGTTCTCAGTCCCTCTCCTGCAGCTACAGCCACCTGGTGAGTATTCATCTAGGAGCCCTAGCAGCAACTCAACTGTCTAGAAAGGAGCATGGATCTTTCAACCTCCTCATTTCTTTTTGCTATTAATGGAAACATCAACAATCCATTCCACAGGTAACTACAAGATTTCCCTACGCTCTGCTTCTCCACTTCCAACTCAGTCTTAGGGACCAGTTCACCTTTCCTTCCTAGAATCCACCATTCCCTTTTAAACTCTTTATGCAATCTTACTGCGGCCACTTCTTCATTATGTGCACTTGGAAACCCCAGCACACAGAGTCTGGGGACCGTTAAATAAAGCAAATAAGAGTGAAACTGGAATCTTTTGCACTGTTGTTACTACTGTTTCACATACTATTATTATAACAAGTACTGTATATTCCATAGGCGAAAAATCAAGAGAAAAATTAGATTAATACTTACATCCAACTTGAGTAGCTTTTCAATAACAAGTTCTAGAATTTCATGCCTTAAGGTTGGAAAATAGACACTTATCCTTAGTAAATTATGAACGTAACATTCCTAAAGCACAAAACATCAAAAAATAAGTGTTTTAGCACAGATGGTTTCATAATTGTACAAGCAAAGTATCAACTATATAGTTAGTTTTTTTGTTTTTATTTTGAGAGAGGGTCTCACCATGTAGTTCGGGTTAGCCCAGAACTCACTATGTAGCGTAGGCTGGTCCCAAACTCATGGTGATTCTCCTGCCTTAGCCTTATGAATGCTGAGATTCTAGGCATGGACCACTACCTCTTGGCTATAGTTTAAATAAAAATTACTCAGTAATGTTTCTAGATACTATCTCAGCGCAATTCCTTCAATTACCTCCAATAAATTATTAATTTACATATTTCTACATTTTAAAAAACATCTTAATGAGCTATAATTCATATACCATACAACTCATTCATTTAAAGTGTACAACATTTTTAGTGTATTCAGAGTTGTAAACCATCACCATTCTCAATTTTAGAACACTATTACCCTAAAAGGACATTTCTTATCCATTAATATATCATGTCTAAAAAACGTAGGTCCAGGCTAGGTGTGGTGGCACACATCTATAATCCCAGCCCTTAGGAGGACGAAGCAGGAGGATCATGAGTTCAGGGCCAACCTGGGCTACAAAGTGAGACCAAGGACAGCCTGGACTCACACAGCAAGACTAGTAGCCATTTTAAAAAAACAAAAGCACACACAAAAATGCAGCTCTAGGTAACCTTGAGTTTATGTTGTTTCTCTCAATTTTTATATTCTAGACATTTCATATAAATGGAATGTGATCTTTTAGCATGACTGCAAGGTTTACTTATGTTGAAGTATGAATTCTACTACTGAATAGTCATTTATTGTATAGATGCATCATGTTTTGCTTACCTACCTGTCAGTTAATTATTAGCACACATGTACAAGTTTTTTTGTAGACATATTCTCATTTTTTTGGTTGTGTATCTATTAGTGGAACTATTAATTTAAATTCTAAATTTAACTTTTTTGAAGAATTACCAGTTTTCAAAGCAGCTGCATGACCTTACATTCTTACCAATGAAGACTCCAGTTCACATCCTAGGTATGCTAGTCTAGATGTGAAGTAATTTAGATTATTAATCCCTTGTGGTTTTGATTTCTAGTTCCTTGATGTTGAATTTTTCAGGTGCTTATTTTGTTTTGAAGAAATGCCTAGTTGAGATTTCTTGCCCACTTTAATTGGGTTATTTGCTCTTATTAAGTTTTAAGAGTTTTTACAGACAGAAGTCACTTATCAGACATAATTTGCAAACATTTTTTCATTATTTGATACATTTTTAAAATTTTTTTGATAATAGCTAAGTAGCACATTAGTATTTAACTTTGAATTCCAATTAATTTATGTTTGACTTCTTGTGCACCAAGTGTTACATCCAGAAGTTACTGCTTAATCTAGTCATGAAACCTTACACCTACGTTTTCTTCCAAAAATGTTATTTGGTTTTTGCATTTACATTTAATTCTTCCATTCATTGTTTTTCTTCTTGTTTTATGAGACAGGGTCTTGCTGTGAATCATCACACCTGGCTCTTTCATCTATTTTGGGTTCATCTTTGTATATATAGCTTCTTATTTGGCAGTACTGGGACAGAACCCAGGACCTCACTCAGGCCAAGCACACCTGTAACTGCATCTATTCAGAAGGCTGCGACAGGAGGAATAAAATTTCAACATCAGCCTTGGCAAGTTAAATTAGCAAGACCATGTCTCAAAATAAAAATTAAAAAGGGCTAGGGATAAAGCTCAATGGTAGATAATCCCTGCATTCAAACCCCAGAACCACAAAAACAGAAAAAAGATGTTTTTATATGTATTTTTTCTTGTTTTTTAGTGCTAGGGATAAATTCTAGGATCTACACATGCTAGGTAAGCATTCTAACCAGTAAACCAAACCCCCAGCTTATTACTGAATTGTGTACTGACCTTACATCCTATAACCATGCTGAATTTAGCTCTAATGAATTTTTTGTGTATTATCATGGCAACATATAAAACTGTATCATCAGCTTAAGTGTTTTATGTCTTCCTTTGCATTTGGATGCTTTTTAAAATTTTTCTTACATAAAACCCCAGCTACACAGGTGGCAAGAGGAGATATTCAATGGTACACGCTTGTAGATCCAGCTACTCAGGAGGCTAAAGCCTGAGAATACTTGAGTCCAGTTCAAAGCCAGTCTTTTTTTTTTTTGCACCAGGAATCAAACTCATGATCACATGCTTGCCAGGCAGGTGCTGTGCTACTGAGCTATTTCCCCAGTTCCCTGGTCAGTCTTTTTAGGGCTTTTTTTTTTCCCTTTCTGAGACAAGGTCTTACTCTGTAATTCAGGCTGGTCTTAAGCCCAGGTTAGCCTCAAACTCACAGCAATCCTCCTGCCTCAGTCACCTGAGTGTTGGGATTATAGGGGTGCAAAACCATGCCTAGCCAATGCCAGTCTTGATAACAGTGGGACCTCACTCCAGAAACAACAACAAAAAAAACCACAAACACATATTTTTGTTTTGTTCTTATCATAGGCGAAGTATTTTGGTCTGATATCACTGAGAATGTTAGTCTGTGGGTTTTCATAGTTACCCTTTATCAGCAAAGTTCCCTAGTACTCTTGTTCTGAAAGTTTTAGTATTGACCAAATTATTCTTCTGCATCTATTGAGGTGGTTATGTGGACTTTGTCCTTCATTTTATTGACATGGTATGTGTTCATTGATTTTTAGGCATTAAATTAACCTTACACTGCTAATATCTAACTTAGTCAAGGTACTTGATTCTTTTCCTGTGTTAAGATTCAGTTTTTTAGTATTTGTTCAGGTTTTCTGCCTCTATTTTCATAAACAATACAGTGGTTTATAATAGTCCACTTGAAGCATACTATCAAAAACATTAGTGTAAGTCATTAACTCCTCAATACACTGTACATGTAATACCTGACTTAGGGAAACAGGCATGTTTTAGAGGTAGCTACTATCAGTTATTGAGAATTACAAAGACAATACAAATACTGCACAAAAACTTAAGTAGAATTTATACAAGGCTCTGAGTTATAGCAATGTATGAATGGTTATCTTCTAGTAATTCTTATCTGTGTAAGCATTAAGGCTCTAAATAGATTTCTGAAATGGACTCTGATCATGACTTGTACATAGTAATGAGGGGTAAAATAAAGGCACTAGGAATCCCCAGGAATCACCTACTAAGGATATAAGGATATAATTGGAGTAAAAAAAAATTTTTTTTTTTTTGAGACAGGGTCTGGCTTTTAGTCAGGCTGGCCTCAACTCACAACAATCCTCCTGCCTCAGCCTCCCTAGAGCTGGGACTACAGCCAGGCACCACCAAACTGGCCTGAATCAAATTCTTAATCTTGAGTTTAAAATCTAGAAAATAACTTTTAAAAAAAGACCAATACCATTGGAAAAGAAATCACAAAACAATATTGTTTCATCCATGAAAAAATTTCTTACCAATGTTCTTTCTGATTTTCTAACAAACGGAAATTTTTCTACCAGTATTGGCATAAGAAACCATGGTGTCCTATTTAAAAAAAAAAAAAATTCACATTAACTGGATTTTCTAGGAAGATATTTTATTTCCATTCTAAGAGCAAATATGGATATAGATTATAGAAGGCAAACTGGAATCTCTGACAAGTAGCTGAAAGTTAAACATAGTTTCAGAGAAAATCTAAAACAGCTCAAAGAAAAATAAGCTTTATTAACTTTGATACCAGTAACAAGTCAAAATGGGAGTTTTCTTCTACAAAAATTTAACAGAACTTTAGTTTAAAAGCTAATCATTTCCCACACCTATATGATTTTCTTTAAAAGGGAGAGCCAAAATCATCAACGTGGGTTTTTTTAAGTTAAACCTACAGAGGGAACTAGAAGTCCACCCCTCCAAAAAACTCACGAACCTGCAAAGCTTTTCTTAGAACTGCAATTTTTATTCATATGGCATGACACAAATTCATATGGGGTTTCTCAGTGAAAATATTTGGATATCATATCTGTTGAAGATAAAAGCAAAATTCTAACCACTATACAAAACTGGGAGATCTATATATAAATTCAAAATAATTAAAAATAATGAAGAAAAAACAGAAACACCATTTTTTTGGGTAAAGCTTGATGTTTCATTAATACAAAGCTAAAACAGCATTTAGCCCATGACACTATGAACATTTCATAATTATCTACTAATAAATGATAATTTTCATTGTTGTTGTTATAGTGCTGGAGACAGAACCCAGGGCTTTGCACATACAAGGCAAGCACTCTACCACTAAGTAATAGCCCCAACCTGATTATAATTTTCTTAAGAAAAATACAACATAATGCAAAGTAATGAAAGTATACTCACGATGGGACATATCTTGCTATTATTTGCAAGGCTCTGTGACATGTGTCAAAATTTGCAGGAAGATCTAGAAGGAGAAAGTTCAGAGTATAAACATCGAAACAAAATTAAAAACTGAAGAATCATAGTCATTGTACAAAAGAGAGGAAAAGAAAGTGCTCTAAATGGTATAACTGCATGTAAATTTAAGTGTATAAGATAGACAATGGTATTACTGAGTTTTGTTGGATCACTGAACAAAACTGTTTGCAGTCTCAAAAAAAAAAAAACTGAAGAATCACGTGTGTGAATCTATCAATACTTGCTAATCAGAACTGAGTAATTTCTTGGAGACATAATGTAAAGTTTTTCTCTACAACTATTAGGGAAGACAAAATGGACTAATTAGAAACACATTTATTACAACTGTGTACTAATGCTAAATATACCACATAGACTCTACCAAAAGTTATCATTTGTTGCCATCCAATTATTAGAACAGGTTCCAGTACATTTTATAATTCAGAACACATTCTCTAAACACCAGAGGTCTTCCAAGCTTTAATTCTTTTATACTTACTATCATCTTCATCTTCGGAATCTGAAACATCTATGTCACCTTCCTTAATGATCACCCTGGCTTTTGGTGAGAAAAAAAAAATAAGTTATTCTTCTTGACAATATACAAAAAAAGGTAGTTTTTTCATAGTCCAAACTCAATACAATTGAGTGTATTTCCAAGTATAACATGGTGAGTTTTTAAACTGATAAAAAGTTCCTATACAAGTTCTAAGACTATCAGAGGCTCAATAAAGTAAATTACAGCCCACCAAAAATTAGTAATAAATTTAAATTAGCTATAAAGGAATCTAGATACCTCCCTATGGGACAGATGTCCACCAGAATGAAAATATGCACCCACAGAATCTTCCATGGGGCAAAAATCTCCAAATTAACCAACTTCTTGAATAAAGAAATTTTAAAAATGGGGGGGCTGGGGATTTAGCTTAGCGGCATAAACGCCTGCAAGCATGAGGTCGTGAGTTTGATCCTTGGTGGAAAAAAAAGGGGGGGGAAAGAAAGAAACTTTAAAAATGAAAACCAAAAACACCATATGCATGCCACTTCTTCCAGCCTATGACATCCTGTGCAGCCTCAACACTCGCCAGCAAGGTGGCCATCACCACATGTGGTCCCTTGACCCAGGACCAAAAAATGAGCCAAAATATACCTCTTTTCTTTATAACAAGAAGAAAGCAGAAGGGGAGGAAAGAGGAAGGGCTGGAGACAGAAGGGGGAAAAAAATGAAAGGGTAATCACTTACGAGGTACAAAATGAGAAGCAATCATGCTGAGACATGGTCTAAGGAAGACAGTCTGTGCTGATACTAGATTTCCAAGAAAGGCCAAATACTCCTCCACTACTGTTTGACTTCTGTTCAACCAAGGCAACTTCTAGAGTTGGGAGAAGAGGAACATTTCACTGACATTTATCTTCAAAGTACTGACCCACCTACTAGCCACTGAAATTAACAGTGAACTTACCAACAAAATGCTGATAAGCTGCTCAAAGTCTTTTGTCAAGTACATGATAGAAGAACGGAATTCAAACAGCCAGTTAATGATCTGGTCATCCTTAAATTAAATAAAGAAATATATTTTCAAAATCACACATCCTCTGAGGTCACAGAAAACAACATGTCTGCTGCTGGTACTTGGGAGACTGAGGCAGAAGGATCACAGCCAGCAGGGATCACACAGAGATCAAGATCGGCCTGCACTACAAAGCAAAACCGTCTCAAAAACAACAGTTCACAAAGGAGCCACAACTACTGCTTTCTCTATATTCATGTTGACTAAATAGTGTTATCAACAATAGTTTTTTCTAAACCCAACCTGCAGCTGATTAAAACATATTTTAATGTATTTGCGTAAATAAAGGCTCCAAGGCAGAGGATGTAGCTCAGTGGTGGAGTGCATTCATGAGGCCCTGGTTTTGCTCTCCAACACAAAATACTATTAGTTTCCATTACACTACAAAGTATTCTTCTGATCAGCTTACGGTTTTAAAAGTTTTATTTAGCCTTCCTTCTACTGTCTTTTTTTTTGGTACTGGGAATCAAACTGAGTATCTTGCACTTGCCAGACAGGCACAATGCCACTGAGCTAAATCCCCAATCCCTAAAAGTTTTAAGTGATATGAGAAAAACTGCTTTTTTAAAAAGCCATGTATAATTTATATTATCAGAAATGTAAAATGGAAATTCTTTGGGGGCTGATACTAGAGATAAAAACTAGAGTTTTTATCTAGTTTGTAGTTGTGACATAAACTACATCTCAAACCCCCCAAAAATATCACTTATATTCATGCATATATACAACACATGCAGAAAAAAATTACAAGGGAAAAATCCTAATTTGTAAAGGATAACAGTTCATGCTTGGTAAGACATAGTAAGGAAAAGAGACTAAATAAAAGCAATTCAGTGTTATACCTACAACAAACAACTGAAAGACGAGAAAAAAGACTTCAGTGAGAATATATCACAAGTGAGACAGTGTTTCATTTTTCTCTTCTTTTTTGAGACCGGGTCTCAAGCTAGGCTTGAACTCACTACACAGCCCAGGCTGGCCTTGAACTTGCAGCCATCCTACTGCCTAGTCTCCCGAGTGCTGGAACTACGAGTGCTGGGAACCCTAACCCTAACACACCACGCCCGGTATTATCTTTTTCTAATGGGAAATATTCTGCTGGACAATAAATTATTCCTATTTTACAGGACAGGAATTGGAGATTAAGAGATTAATAAACAACTTGCCCAACTGACAGACCAATAAAGGGCCAGGTTCAAACCGTCGGACCAGCACCAGGGCTACACTGCACTTGCTCTCCACAACGCCTTGCTACAGTTAGTGAAGTGCTGCGCCGGCTTTTTCCCACCTTCATCCAACTAACTAGCTGGTGCTTTCTATGTGTTATCTATCTAACAGACCTCTGGAGACTTGATCATTTTCTAATGAAATTCCAGGTAACACAACAGGAAAATGAAGTAAAACACAACTCATCTTCATAAGCCCACAATCATTAAAAGTATCATTAAATCTGGTATAATGGCACACACCTCGGGGAGGCTGAGGCAGAAATACTGAAAGTTCAAGCCCAGCCTAGACAACTCAGCAACACCCTGACTCAGAATAAAAAATAAAGACAGAGGAATGCAAAGACCTGGACTGAATCCCTAGTGCCACAGAAAGACAAGTGGAGGAAAATAACCTTAATGGCTGTTCACTGAGACCTCAGGCACAAACACCTATATTTATGAACAAATAACAATGAGTAAAATGTATCCTATTTCCTTTCCACTTTAAAAAAAAAAAAGTTCAAGGGCTAGAAAAAACCATGGTAGATAAAATATAAAAATAGTGAAAAACAAAAAAACTGGTCACAGACTTTGATGCTTTAGTAGTGAACCGCTGCTAAGTGCAAACTGCACAACTTCTCTAGAGAAGCAGACACACCCACCATGATTCGTGGTATGGCAAGAATCTGCTGCCCATAAAATATGCCAAAGAAACTGATCTTTGGACCTGAAAGAAGGCAAGAGTCAGAGATCAACTGATGCCTCAGTTGTCTTTATTTTCTGGGCGTTACATTCCTTACAGAAGGAAAAGCACTTTTTTTGGTTTTCAGAACAGAAAGTAGTTCAGCAGCAGTAGCTAACTGCTCGGAGCTAACATGGCACGTGTGTTACTGTAATTTTTTTTTTAAGGCAAAAGATGTTAATGTCTGAGGTTTTTAAACTAAAATCTCAGTGTTCAGTTTTAATTGCAGTGTTGGCACTTTGCAGTTGGTCTCTAAAAGGTTCGCCATCACTGGCTTCAAATATACGATAAATAAGCCAACACATAAAGGCTCCCAGGGGAGCAAAGAACCAGACAGGTCACAGAAGACCTTGTGAGCCAGACACAAAATTTAAGAAAGATCTGCTGGACACGGTAGTACATGCTTCTTCGGAGGCTGAGGCAGGAGATCACTGTGAGTTCAAGGCTACATAGTGAGTTGAAGGCCAGCCTGAACTACATAGCAAAACCCTGCCTCAAAGGAAAAAGAAAAGTGGCGAACTCAGGGAATAAAGTATCTAGTGGGAAATGAAGATAGAAAAAATGTTGTAAGCTGTGCTAAGAAGTTGGCTCTTCATTCTTCCACAGGCAGGAAGTTCTTTTTAGTAAGATAAAGACATGTCTGGACTTGTGTTTCAGTGAGATGAGTCAGGCTGTACTTTGAGGATAAATCTGGAGGGAGGAAGTAGGGCAGGATAGGACCTAAAAACCACTAAACAGTTACTAGAAGCATCCAGATACAAGAGCATCAGCAAAACAGAAGACTTAAAGATCCCCACCCCCCTACCCCAGAATCTGGTGAATGAATAGATATGAGAAGTAAAAAAGTCCAGAAAGACTGAAAATTCTTAGTTCAAGAACTGGATAAACAATAGTTAAACATGAAAGAAGGCTGTACAAGAGCAGGTTTAGGAGGGAGAAAAGGTGTTTGATTTGCTAGTTTGGAGCATCTGTTACAATTCGCACCTAACAGGAAGAGAAGAACAAGGTTGGAGCCCATCAGAAATGAGTTACAGATATGATCTGGGAAGTTATGAGGACACAAGTAGATGCATAAGACAGTGATCACACAAGAAGAATCTACAGACAAATCAAGTTTGGATGTCCAACCAACACTTTTATAAGTTATGAACTTATAAAAGAGAATAGATACAAATAATCAGTAGAGAAGAGGATCATAGACACTAAAGAGGGGTTTTTAAAAAGTGGTTGTCCAACAGGCCAACTCATATAATTGCAATTGGAGTTTTTTGGCTTTTGTGTTTGTGTGTGTTAGTGGGGACTGAACCCACGGCCTTTGCACTAAGTTATATCACCAGCCCTTTTTTATTTTGAGATAGTCTCACTAAATTACCCAGGCTGGCCTTAAACTTGCAGTTCTTCCCATGCAGCTGAAATTACAGACATGCATCACTGCACATGGTTCAGTGAACTTTTTAAAAATAACAACCAGACACAGCAGTGCACATCTGCAATACTAGCTACTCGGGGGATTGTGGCAGGACTGCAAAATAAAAAGGGATGGGGACAAAGCTAGCAGGCGAGGGGCTCTGGGTTCAATTCTTGAACCACGCACACAGGAAGTCCACTGAAGTCAGGGTGTACAAAGTCACTGGTGACCTCTGTTGGGGTAATTACAGCAGAGATAACAACAGTGAACTCAAATCTAAATGAGAAACAAGGAGGTAGCCAGGCATCCTGGCATATGCCTGTAATCCCAGCACTAAAATGCATATAATCCCAACACTCAGGAAGCTGAGATAGGAGGATGGCTGTGAGGCCGAGAGGAGGGAGAATCACTGTGAGTTCAAGGCCAGCCAGAGCTACACAGGAAGTTTAAGGTGAGCCTGAACTGTATAGTGAGAGAGAAAAAAAAATACAAAAGAAATGAAGATCCGCAGATTTCAATAAGAAAAAAGCAACAGCTAACAAAGCAAGCTCTGAAGAACAGAATAGACCAAATGTGCAAACAATGCCTTATACAAAGTGCAAGCAACTTTACTGTGCCACCTGACAAATAAAAATTACCTTTATGTCTGGATCTGACAGCTGATTCTTCAACAACTCAAAGTCATTTGTTTCACCCTGAACAAGAATGGAGGAAAATTAAATTATGCTTGCTGTGGTTTCCTGTTAAAACACCGACTTTTCTTTTTGGAGAGAAGGCTCTCGCTCATAATTCAGGTTGGTCTGGAGCTTACTGTGTAACCCAGGCTGGCTTCAAACTTGCAGTGATTCTCTTGCCACAGCCTCTTGAGTGCAAAAGAGCAAGACTTCTAAGTATACCTTAACATCTAATCAAATTGCAGAAGGAACCTTATAACTTCCCATACATTCCCTATAATTACAAAATCATGACTACAAAATTTTTAAATTCATATTAATAGAGCCAAAGGTGGAGGAAAATGCCATTCATATTTAGCTATAGTTGTGCACTGACATTTAAATATAGTTGATATTCTTTTTTGCAGTACTGGAGATCAAACTTGGAGACTTCACATTGAGCTACAATCCCAGCTTTTTTTTCATATACTACCACACCTGTCTTCAATTCATTTTTTTATGTCTATGTACGCATACTGGTCTTTCCTTTTTATTATTATTATTACTTTTTGGTGCTGGGGATTATACCCAGGGCCTATTATGCTAAACACATGCTCCATTACTGAGCTACACCTCCAATTCCTAGGCTCACCTTTAGTATATCAGTTATTCCGTGAGCAACAAAAACTAACCTTCACACATTATCTCTTACCTTTTTGTATTTCACCAAGACTTCTGTCACAGTTCCACCAAACCGAACAGTTTTTCTTGGAGGAGAATTGAAGAAATTATTCTTTAATGCAAGCATATCTGAAATCCTATGGAACCAAGATTACCAAACTATTACATTCATGAGAGTGAGTAATACATCCAGGGCTAGGGATATAGATCACTAATACTGCACTTGCCAGGAATGCAAAATGCCATGGGTTCAATCTTTGGAACCACAGAAAAATAAAATAACCAACATTTATTGAACCATCGTTATTCAGAATGGTGGGATAAGTGTGTTCAAAGCAAAGGTGAGTGTTTTGGGGGCAACTGATGGCAATGTGTCATTTTAAAAACAGGGTCTCCCTTTGTAGTGACAGTTTAAGGCTGCCCTTAAACTCACTATGTAGCCCAGGCTGGCCTACAACTCATGGGTACCTCCCACCTCACCCTCCTGGGTGCTGGGATTTCAAAAGTGAGCCACAAGCCTTCTTTGCACCTTTCACTGAAGTATACTTTCCATATTTAAACATTCCCTGTATTTTTCAATCACACCATAAATGCCTGCTATAGTTTCTTAAACAGTCATCCTTTTATTTATTCCTCTTTATCCCCTGAGAATCCATTTATTCCCCACAATAATTTATTCTCTACTCAGCAAAAGTAGTTTTCTAGATGCACTTAAAAATAACCCAAGTTTCTACATTAACCATACAAAATCTTTCGTCCAGTGTCTGCCTACCTCTCTCTGACCTCATCTCCAACCACTTGTTTTACTAAAAGCAGTGTCCTTTCTGTCTTCAAACCTGTCAGTATGGTTCCCATTTCACTTACTGCTCACACTATCATAAGCAATCCTTTCAGATCTGTACCAGGTTAGATTCTTAACCTACATTGAGGCTTAAGTTCCAATGTCAATGCCTTCCCATCAGAAATCTACTGTACCCATCCTCCTTTCTACCCTCCCATATCTTGCTGTATTGCTGTGCTTTTTCAAAGTGCTTTAACTATGTAAAACTATCTCGTTGGCTGATTTATTAGCCAATTTACTGTCTCCCCTACACACACACATATACACTGTAAGCTCTATTGTTAAAAAGGACTGTTGCGACAGTCTCTGGACAGACCTGTACCCCTAGTGTCTAACACTGGGAGTATACACTTAATGGGTAATTGTGAATATTATTCTAAGTGTTTTTCAAGGTCTGCTTTGTTTAAACAGTTGAAAGAAAAAAAAAAAACCAGCATCCTACTAATTCTAAAAGTTAAGTAGGATAAAGACTACTTTACTAAATACGTGTGTCCAAAGAAATTTCCAAACAGAATGTTAGGTTTAGGATCTGTCATCGATGACAGCACTCGTTTGAAAAAATTCGTGGTCCAGAAAAATCCCTTCCAAACCTAGATGAAGAAGCGGAACAGAAGAGGTCCCAGGCCTGGTCACAAGGCAATGCCCAGGCCTGGGACCCTGTTAGGGATCCACAGCGGTGGGTGGGTAAGGGGCTGGAAAGGAGAACAGACTCATTGATGCCCATCTCCCTTTACCCACGAAGGCGTAACCGGCTCACTCTAGCGAACCCGAGATGCCGCCGCCAGCAGCACCACAGTCGAGGTATGAGCTTTTATCCCACACTCGTTTAGCTCTGTCCCAGACGCTCAGATCCGCGCCCCCAACTCCAATCCCAGACTCGCAGACGGAAGAAGCAAGAGTTTTACCCTGTCCCCGACGCGCCCAGCGCCGCTACCGTAGATGCTGAAGCTGGCGCATCCGCGACCAACCGCGTGCGAAGAAGCGGGGCCGCCATCGCTCCGCACACGCGAGCCAGCTGGGCCTGGCTTAGGAAACCTTGCTCCTTCCAGCGCCCGCCTCTGCTCCGGAAGTTGCTTTTGTGAGACGCCGTTTTCAGCCAATCAGAGTCCGCACATGTGAATCGTCTATGGTCCGCGGGCTAGGGCGCCACCAAAGCTTTCTCCGCCGCTTCTTGCCAGAGGCTCTGCCTTCGCTTTGGAGGACTATACTGAACATCCAAGAAGTGCGAAGTGTTGCCGGAACTCTATCAGGGTTTGGTTTTGTTTCCTCAGTCTTGGAGATTGAACCAGAGGCCATTGCACTGAGCTACATCCCCACCCTTTAAAAATATTTTTATCTTGAGACAGGATCTGACAGATTTGCACTGGCTGATCTCCAATTTAGGTGTTTGCTGCCTGTGCCTCCCAGAGAGCTAGAATTACAGGCGTGTGCCTCCACGCCCGCCGAGTATTGAGTTTTTGGAAGTCAAGCCACCCTCAACCAAATCAAGGAACTAGGGCTTTTTCTTTTCTTTTTTTACTTTTCATTTGAGACAGGATCTCTCCCTGTAATTCAGGATAGCCTTGAACTCATTGTGTAGTCCATTCTGGTCTCGAACTCACAGCAATCCTACTCCCTCAGCCTTTCAAGTGCTGGGATTACAGACCTGTGCTGCCTTTCCTGGGCAAGATCATATTTTTAATCCAAATTCTCACAGAGAATCAGGATTCGAACTTGACTTTGTGACCCAGAGCCTGGAGTCTGTACCACTGTCCATCACTAAAGATAATCTTTTTTTTTTTTTTTTTTTTTTTTTTTTTTTTTTTTTTAGCGGTACCAGGGATCGAGCTCACGACCTGAAGCCACTGAGCTAAATTCCCAGCCCAACCAAAGATAATAATCTTATCCTCTTGGAAACATTGTGTACTCCCAGGGATTTACCCAGGGGCTGTGGTGAAACATAAAAGAATTACCCTTTAAACATACTTTTTTCAACCGACCCCCATCTGAGGATCAAAGCTGGGGTCTGGTACATGCCAGGCAAGTGCTGTACCGCTGAAACCCAAACATAAATCGGTTAAAAGAATAAGTCAGCCATACCACCAAAGCAGAGAAGGATTTTCCAGGCAAAGGGAGCACAGAGGCCGAAGCTTGGGAACTGCTACTCCCCTTAGTTCTATTGTTGAGACCGGATTTCTTTATGTAGTTCAGGCTGGCCTTGAATTGACTGTGTACCCCAGACTGGTCTTGAATTTGCAGTAAACTCCCTGCCTCAGCCTCCCAGGTGCTGGGATTACAGGTGTGTGCCACCATATCCAGCCTTTTAGTACTTAAGGCTAAATGAAATTTTTGGAAACTAGAGAACTACTAACACATAAACCAGTTACAGCAACTTGTTAAATGTAAAGCATCGCTCTGTGGCCCAACAGTGTAAAATCAGTAACTTTCTGCTGTCTCCATTTGGTACCACTGTTCAGACTGCTTGTGGAATGTTGGGCAGAAATTAATGTCCTAAGAGCAAAATAAGTAATTGCACAGTAGCTCACAAAGGAGCTTCAAGATGGCTGTTTTTGCAGGAATGTCTCTTTTTCCGCCCCCAATAAAGCAAAACAAAATAAATAAATACAATCCATAGGTATAATTCATATCAGTAGACATATAAATAAACTGTTAAGCAATTCAACAATTACACTTTATTCTTTCATTTTAAAAGTTAAAGGGCTGGGGATTTAGTTCAGCGGCATAAGTGCCTGCCTGGCAAGTGCGAAGTCATGAGTTCAATCCCTGGTACCACAAAAAAAAAAAGAACCAAAGAGATAGATCTTGGGGCTGGGGGTTTAGCTCAGTGGCATAAGTGGCTGCTTGGCAAATGTGAGGTTGTGAGTTCAATCCTTGGCACCAAAAAAATAAAAAACTAAAAAATAAAAGTCGAACATATCCAAAAGAATTGTTTATGAACACCTGTGAATGAATATACCATATAGTTTAAGAAGCAGTGCTGTGCACTATGGGTGGTGCATGCTTGTAATCTCAACTGCTCTGGAGATTGAGGCAGAAAGATCACATGTCTGAGGTCAGCCTGGGCAATTTAGTGGGACTCTGTCTTCAAATAAAATAAAAGGGGCTAAGGAATATAGCTAAGTACAAGGCCCTGGGTTCAATTCTCAACCCCAGAGAAGGGAGGGAGGACAGGTGGGAAAAGTTAACCAGAGCTATTGAAGCTTCCTGTGTGCTCCTAACAGATCCCATTTGCGCCTTGCTTTCTTCCCAAAAGTAATCTTTATGCTTTCACTTTGCTAAGAAGATTTTTTAAAACTTAAGCACCAGGTTAAGCTTCCAGCCCTGAAAAAGAAACCCACTTAACATGAAATAACATAATTCACTGCTGAAGTTCTTTAGTCATAACCCTTCCTTGGGTCTTTATTCAGTTACTTCATTTCATGGGGCAACTCATCTTCCTGGGACAAAAGCCTCTTTTATCCAATTTTTCCTTCCACAGAGTCCCATTTTCCTTTGTCACCTGTGGTAGCCAAAAAATAAAAATAAAAATCCTCCACTCCAGGCTAGGTGTGGTGGCACACAATTGTAATCCCAGCACTCAGGAGGCTGAGGCAGGAGGATCACTGCAAGTTTGAGGCCAGCCTGTGCTACAAAGAGAGTTCCTTGAACTGAACTGCATGAACTGCCTGAACTGCATGGTGAAACTGTGTCTCAAAAAAAATCTTCCCTTTCAAAATTCAACAACAAAAGCAAATGAACTCTAGCTAGTTTATAGGAAAGGATATTTATGCTAAAGATATGTGGCTATTATTAGGTATCAAGAATTTCTCATTGATCAAATTTGGGTCCAGTGCCCTTCTGTAATCACTCAGTGTTGAGTGGAAATCTGGATGTGATTGCATCCAGATCCAGTGCATGCATACTTGGAAGGCTGAGACAACTGGAACATCTGAACAGCACAGTGAATTCTCCATTACACCTGCACACACCCACAAGCAAGCTAAATAGATGAGTTCATATTATACCAGATAAATCTTTCAATGATCTTTGCTCTGAAGCAAGTCCCAACAAATGCTCAGCAAATCAAATGACTGAATGGTAGGGAAGATCCATGCCAATGATATCCAAACACCAAAACCAATAGTAAATATCTTGTTTGTTTTCACTTTCTGAAAGAGTCAATGATTATTCTGAGTTAGGTTTTAAATGCTCCATTAACAAAAGTGCAAGTTCTCATCTATCTTTAGTTTTACATATGTGTGTATATGTAAATATTCTCCCTCTTATAAATCATTAATTTAAAGTTTCCTTCATCCCAGTATTAAAGAAAAGTAAAAAGTAATTTCTCAGTCTTGACATTGATTTTTGGGGGCTACATAATTCTTTTGTGAAGGTAGGGAGCTATCCTGTGTGTTGTAGCTAGAATCATCTCTGATTAGATGATGGTAATACGCTCCTCATCCCTGTCATGACAGGCAACAATGTCTCCAGACACTGCCAAATGTCCCGTGATTATCTTAGTCAAGAACTATTGGTATAAACACAGAATGCAATTGAAACGGAGAACAACAAAGAATATATATATATATATATCTCCCATATATATATCCCACATATATATCCCATATATATATGGGATCTAACTGAATTTGACTGAGCAAAGAACAATTCACTAATCATGCAGACCTCAAATCCAGAATAGGTTCAAACAGCTCCAGCAGAATTCCAGCCTGTAATATGTCAGGGACCATTTATGGACAGGAAACAGAAGTGTCATCCAGAGAAGGCTGGATTGGCTGCATCCTGGGTGTGTCTGCCTTATTTGAACATGGTCTGATCCGTTGTCCACTACGATGGACTAAGACTTAGCTGCTATGATTGGCTGAAATTCAGCTATTCAGCTGTGTTATAAATATAAAAGTACAATCCAAGAAAGGCTTTCAGCCACTCTATTTCCTAAGTTAGTTTGCAATTCCTTATGTAAGCACTCAAGTGTGGAGGCATCTGCAGGCCAAATTTAGTTTAACTACAAATAAATCACTTACTATTTTATTCTGCTAGAAAATAATGGCAAAACTATTGTATTTAAGAAAGCTAGGCATAGTGATGTACACCTGGAATCCCAGCACTTGGGAGGCTGATGCAGGAGAATTGCTGCAAATCCAAAACCTGCTTAGGCTATGTAGTGAGTTCAAAGCTGGTACATAATATGACCCTGTCCCCCACCCAAAAAAAAAACTCAAACTATATGAGACTACTCATGTTAAGTAATTCCAATACATAATGTTTACAGACTTCGATCATAAAGATACAAGAGACAAGTATGTAGTATATCCCTAAAAAAGTGTATCTGACTGAACTTCTGAATCAATAATATATTTTATATTGTCTTATTGGCATAATATCTGAAAGCAGTTTTATCTGCTTACTTGGTCTTTGATTAGTAGAGACTACCTAACCTCAGCCTCATGTTTGTCTGTAGGCTTTCAATACAGTAACAGTTAATAGCTGTGTTCACACATTTCATAAATACTTGCTGAATATCTAAGTACTAGGCTCTGAGACAGCTTCTGGGTCTATGTGGCAAAAATATTAATAAATGGTTGTTGCACTCATGAAGCTTGTTATCTTTCTGATAAAAGAAACAGACACTGATCAAATATAAATTTATAAAAAATTAGGGAGATTACAAAGTGTTATGAGGCTCTATAATAAGCAAAACTGACAGCTTTAGGAAGGTCATAGGAGACTTCTCTCAGAAAATAATAACTGGGAACGACTGTGGAACAGGGGTACAACACAGAAGATTGAGAAGGGAATGTGATTCCAAGGGAGGGGGAGAAAAAGGGGTATGTATCAGGCTTTTAGCCTAGCAGTGCATTTGGAATAGTGGTGACAGAGATTTAAAAAAAAAAGGAGCAATGAGAAAATAACTAAAACGAACCCTACAATAAATCTAGAAATCTTTTCACAACATAAACACTTGTTCCCTTGCCTTCTTTATATTAAAATTGTCCCATTAATCCTTTTGAAAGCAAACCCAAAGGGTCAGAAACCTCGTGTATGTGTGTGTGTGCACATTTGTATGTGTACATGTGCCCGGCAGCAAATCAAGAGCCTGAACAAGCTAAGTGAATGTTCCACCATTGCTCAAGTCACAAAAATCTAAGGTGAGTGAACATTAAATTCCAAAGGAAGTGGGGCTGGGGATTTAGCTCAGCAGCATAAGCACCTGCCTTGCAAGCAGGCAGTCATGAGTTCGATCCCTGGTACCGATAAAAATGAAAAAACCAAAAAAAATCCAAAGGAAGTAATTCAATACTTATCAGTAGCAATTAAACATGGAATAACCCAGTAAAGCTGTTATCAATTGGCTGTGAAATCAGAAATAGGCAAAGTATAGCTCTTTGATGTAAAAGTTCTGAGCTATGAGGGCCAGAAACTATCAGCTCTTAGTGTTAGCAGCCCTCTATCAGCAGCTGCTGGCAGCCCTCTGACACTTTGGTGACTAGAGATGGTGGCTCCTGGCAATTCTCCACTGCTCTCCATTCATCTCTGGCTGCTAGCTCCCTTTTGTGTTACCAACCCTGGCTGCTGGACTCAGTACCAGTGCCTTTAGTGTTACCAGCTCTACTTGAGATAAAAATCATGAATAGAAAAATGCCAGCAGTAAGAGGCTTTGTCAGGACTTACGCTGCAGCCTAAGGAAAAACAATACAAAGACTGACACACTAAGGTTTCGGATGAGGTCACTTACATAGAGGAAAATGTGGGTTCACATACACATAACATCTTGATGGCTAACCAGACTTTCTTAATCACCTGTAGAGAAAAGGATCTTTAGAGTTGGGGATTTAGCTCAGCGGCATAAGCACCTGCCTTGCAAGCGCGTCGTTGTGAGTTCTATCCCCAGTACCAATTTAAAAAAAAAATAGTAGAGAAAAGGATCCTTGTGGACCAGATTAGGGATGGCTGTAGAGGAGAGGAGTCATCTGGGATGGACCTGCCATTGAAGCTTGCTGCTGCCAAAGCCAGAGCAGGCATGGGGCAGCTGACATATTTGTGGTTGGCTGTAAAGCATGGGGGACTGCCTTGGCTGTCGAAGTTGGAAGAAGTAAAAATTAAAACAGTACCTCTTGGAGAGGGTTAGGCCCTGCTTTCCTGTCTCCAAGGCACAGGAAATTTAAATTTTACTTCTATAATAGTAACAAGAAAACTATATAACTGTAGCTGTAGCATTTCCCTACTTATTAAAATAGTGTGTTAAATATATATTATATGCTACTAAAGCACATTTTAGATCAAGAATGTTACAATACAAAGAATATGCACCACCACTCAACACAGGTTTTTTTCTTTCTTGTTTTAATGATATAATTTCTGATACTTGGTACTACAGAAGTATACCCTGATCTAGTTTATAAGGTTTTAACAAGCAGCTCAACTCTTTCAGCTTAATGTAGAAAAAAGAATCAGAAAAGTGGATCAAACCAGACCATTACTGAGATAATGAGTTAAACTCTTAGTTATTGCCCATATCTACTTTTCCAGAAGTATTATGTTGCTTTGTTCATTAGTAATGGTCTGTGTGCCTTTTTCATCCAGCAAAATTAGCCTACAGGAGATCTTAAAATGGTAGAGATTTCACATTGGATTGGCGAACATCATCCCAGAAATCTTAGTTTTACCATCTGTAATTATGCTCTTACGTAATTTTCTTTTGTAGTTTTTTTTTTTTAAGTATTAAGGATTGAATGCAAAGATTTACACATGAGGCAAACACTCTACTATGAACTACATTCCTACATTTTACTTTTATTTTTCAGACAAGGTCTAGCTAAGTTGTCCAGGTTGATCTTGAACTTGCAATCCTCCATCCTCAGCGCCCCACGTAGCAAGAATTACAGACATGCACCACCATGCCAGGCTTATTTTTTCTTTCTCATTTTGGTGAGGTAGTTTCTGATACTGGGTAATCATCAAAATGGAACTTTATTTTTCTGTGCAAATAACTACAAGAGTAGTTTATTTGATGCAATGATATCTAACTCATAAAATGGGAAAACAGAGGCTGGACTTGGGAGGCTGAGACAGGAGGACTGCAAGTTCAAGGTCTGCCTGGGCAATTTAGCAAGACCCTGCTTGAAAATAAGAGCCCCTGCTTTCAATCTTTAGTACCACAGGAAAAAAAAAAAAAGAATGAGAGAAGGATAACTTACCTTTTTTTGTCATTGTGGGACAGGGTTTCACTATGCACTTCAGGCTGGTCTTGAACTCACCATCTAGCATAGGCTGGCCTCAGAATCAAAGTGATCCTCCTGCCTCAGCCTCCCGAGAGCTGGGATTACAGGCACATGCCACTATTCCCTGCAAGTTATTGTATTTAATATGATTTTTTGAGCCAGCGTCTCACTATGTAGTTTAGGCTGAATTTAAACTTACAATGTAGCCCAAACTGACTTCAAACTCTTTTAACAGTCCTTCTGTTTCAGCCTCTCAAGCCCCCTAGGATTAGAGCTACGCACCACCACATCCAACCCTTCATGTGATTAATGTATTTGAAACAGAGTCTCTCTGGAAGTCCAGACTGGCCTTGAGTTTGAGATGCTCCTCTTGCCTCAGCCCCCAAGTGCTGGGATTATAGGCCTATATCAACACACCTGGCTAAAGTTAATTTTTAAATGTTTTTTAATATTTAGGGGGGGGGTAGGGATAGGGACAATTCCCAGTACCCTCTACCAAAAAACTGGAAAAATGAAAATAAGAAAAAATGAGTATTATATAATATAGTAAAATGATAATACTGACTTGGTGGAAAGAGAATTTAAACTCACTGCTTTCAGGTTGTAGTCCAGCCTCTGCTGCTAACTAGCTGTATGATCTTAGGCAAGCGACTTATAATTTTTGTTAGTTTTGGGTTTTAGGTGGGAGGAGGCTATGTGAAAGACTGAACTGCACAGCCTCTAGCCTTCTTAGAGTCAATGTCATTCATTATCATTTCACCAAGATCCACACTCAGTAATTGCTGTTATGGCTTATATCTAGATGCCCCAAGCCTCATACAGTCATAAGTGGGGTTTTTTGGAGGTACCTGGATTTAGGGCGTGCAATGCTGGGATTAATGGTGCCCCACTAAGGGTGTAGGTAGCACTGCTCAAAGGGAAGCTGCCTGGATGGAATCTGGAGGCAGGCTTGGCTGCTGCAGCTACTACTTTGCTGTTTTAGTAGTGCCTTTTGCCTGCCATGCTATGGTCTGTTCCTCCTCTACAGTGCCTCCCTGCCACGCTGCCCTGCCTTGGAGCTCACCCTATGGACTAAAACCTCTAGAAACTGTAAGCTGAGATAAACCATTTGTCCTTTAATTTTGAGTTTTGGATAACTTGTCCCAGCAAGGGGAAACGTAACTAAGACAATTGTTTAAAAATATTTCTTAGAGTGTGTGTGATGGTGCACTCCAGAGGCTGAAGCAAGAGGACAGCTTGGAGCTTGAAGCTAGTCTGGGCTACATAGTGAGTTCAAGGTCAGACTGGACTACCTAGTGAGACCCTGTCTCCAAAAGAAAAAAAATTTCTGGGATTAGAAACAATCAGAATATCCATGAATAGAAAACAGGTGACATTATGAGAGATCCCAGAAGTTTAGAGAATGCAGAAACATGGATCATCTGAGAAAAAAATGTAAGGAGGGAGCATGCCCCCAGGGAAGCCATGGGAACTATTACCACTGCCATGGAAGTGCTGTAGGGGCTGAGCCACCCAAGCCCTTTCAGTTTACATCTTGCCACAGATTGCTTTGGATGTTGTACATGGAACTACAGGACTTAATGTTTATCCTGCTGGGTTTTGGACTTGCTTTGCTCCCATTCCTTTGTATCCCCCTTTTGTAAATTTTGGAATGGTAATGTTTATCTTGTGCCATTGAATGTTGGAAGTGTTTAATTTATCTCACAGGTAAGACTTTGCCTTAAATCTCAATCTCAAAGATTTGGAGCTTAAAACTTTTCAGTAATGTTGAAATTATTAGAACTTTGTCAACTCTTAAGAGATGAACTAAATACCTTTTGCTTGAAGGAATGTACACAAATCTTTGGTGGGAGCAGGGGCAGAATGTTATAGTTTGTGTCTAGGGGTACAAATCTAATGTGGTCATGGAGGCAGGCTTTAAAGAGGTGGCTGAAACTACAGCTTGTGATTGATTCATGGTCCAATGCTGAGATTAGGAGTATGAGTGCTAAATCCACTCTAGGGCAAGTAGACTGGATATGAGGGAAAGAAACTTACCTCTCTCTTCCTGCTTGTGGCTTTTACTGTCTTTACCCACAATGAATTCCACACTGTCTTGGAGCCAGCTGATTCTGGGCTGAAATCTCTACAAACTGTGAGCTAAATAAATTTTAAATTTGGGGGTAAGGTATTTTGTCCACTATGAGAGAAAATTAACCAAGACAGTAGTGCATGCCTACAATCCCAGCATTTGGGAGACTGAGACAGGAGAATTGCTGAGTTTGAGGCCATTCTGGACTACATAGTGAATTCAAGACCTTGGTGCGACATAGTGAGCTACGTACATACATAGTGCTACATAGTGAGACCCTGTCTGAAAAACAAAATGAAATCAGAGACTATAGGTCAGAGGTTGAACAATTACTTAGCATGCTGAAGATCCAGAGTTTGATCCCCAACATTACAAAAACTATTATTCCTTTTTTGTTTGTTTTTGATTCCTGAGACAGGGTCTCACTGTGTAGTTCAGGATGGCCTAGCACTCAGTGATCTTCCTGCCTTAGCCTCCTGAGTGCTAGGATTACAGGTGTGTGCCACCACACTCAGCTGGCACTGTTAAAAAAGAAAATAAACAGCAAAGTCAGATTTTAAATCTTTGGGAAAATAGAAATCTCCAAAGTTGTGAATGTATATACCCACCATAAGTTGTAGCATATTTTACCATATTGAATATATTAAAACTTTTCTGAAAGCTGTTTCATAATGTGATGGTGAACACAATGAGTTTCATTTTCTCATGTCAATTTCTATAAGAACTTTACATATATTTATGTTCATGCACTATGAACATAATCACACATCATTTTCTAATAAGAGACGTGGAATGCTTTCATGATATTTATTTTTAAAATAAATTTATTTTAAAACAAAATTCATTTGAAATAGTACAGTTTATTATGGCTTAAAATTCTGGCAATAAATATTATCAGAAGCTTAAAAACTGTCCAATATTGTAACAGTTATATTTGGCATAGGCAATCTAGAGAGTCTGTTGGTTTGAGTTCGATCAGGACTCCAGAAAGAAGTTTCCAAAACACGACTAAATATTTGTGATTTTATAAAGTTGGCAGTTAAATCTGTAGAAATACTGGTGGGTTCTGCAAAGAAAAAGGCAATATTTATTTCAGATGATATTTACAAATATGAAAGTCTAGAAAGGAATGAAAAATTGAAGAGTTGCTGATTTTTATTTTCTGTCAGTAAAATTTTAAATAGAGAAGCGACCCATAGATTGACACAAAATATTATAGCTTAAATTATAATTAACAAGCCTGAGAAGGCTTATTGATCATTTTAATTTGAAAGGGAATACTATCATATATACCTTGAAATATACCTCAATTAGACATTTATTTCACCTCCTCTATTTGTGTTACTTTGGAAAAATTACTTTATCTTTCAATATCAAATTGTCCTCGATGTGCCCAACTCTGACCATTGTGACAAATGCCTGTAAACCATTTAGTATCATGTGCAGTATATTATAAACATCTGACAGTTATTACTGTCATATGTGTGTGTGTTGATTCAAAGCTTATACAAATTGAGGACAAAAACTGAATAAAACAAAGAAAAATAAAATTAGAATCATCTATGGGAGAAGGCACCATCCCTAAGAGGCACAGAGTCCCTCGAGGGTCAAACTAAGGTTTTTAAGTTTTTGGTAGTAGGGTGGCTGCACTCAGGGCCTTCACAAAGCTACAACCCCAGCCCTTTTTTACTTTTTATTTTTGAGACAGCGTCTCACTAAGTCACTAAGTTGCCCAGGCTGGGTTTGAATTTGTGATCCTCCTGCATCAGCTTCTTGAGTGCTGGAACTGCAGGTGTGTGCCACCACACCTGTCTTAGAGCAATTTCTTTTATGATTATTGTGGATTAGAGTTGTCAACCTCACACTATTGACACCTTAGGTCATAGTATTCTGTATTGTGGGAGTTGTCCTGTGCATTGCTAGGATGCTTAGCGACTTTTTGGGCTTTTACCTGGAGCATCCAGGCTAGGCACTGAAAGGTGTACTCTTAATCCGGGAGTCAGAGGCTCAATAAATCACCTCTTAGGCCAGCAAACCAAGTTGGAACAGCCAGGTACTCTGGGTGTGAGGGGGACCCTGTAAAAGTGCTACTTGGTGTCTCCTTTGCTTTGAGCCAGTTGCTTGGTCAGATGAATGACTACAGATGATCCAACTTGAGTCAAAGGAACTGTTACAGCCTACTCCAAGCAAATAAGGCAAATCATGGTAATTTTCTCTTTTGTTCTGTAAGTAGTACATAGTATCCTCAATTTTGCTTCTTGACCCACAAAGCCTAACATATTTACTGTTGTGTCCCTTATAGGAAAAAAAATCTTGTTTTAGACAGATCTTTACCATTAACATAGATAAATGTGTTACAGTGCTTTGTGTGTACTCTATGTGCCACCTTTATAGATAAAAAGTTGTACTAGAAAATAAACACTTGAAAGTATTTTTGTAAGATGAGCACCCATGGAGCCTACACTTTGTTCAGGAACTGTTTCTAACATCTAAGAGGTCCACTTTCAGCTTATTCCTTAAGAGAGAGACTTCAGCAATTAATCTCTATTTGTGGCCTACTGCCATTATTTTATACAGGTAGTATTGGAAACCATAGACACAACACAAGTCTGCTTAGACACCTTCAAAGGCTTCCCAAATGTGTATAGGGTTACTAGTACTCCCTGGAAAGATCCTTCACCATCTAGTATCGTGTAATTCCCTGAATTCACCACAGACACTCCATAGTTCCTTCCCTCTTGAATCTCCAAGACTCAATCACCTGTGACTAGCATTAGGCTGTTCCTTCCCAGATGTGTTCTCAAGAAGCCACAGGCTATAGGTCAGCGGTGGTAATAGTTCCACAGCCGGCTCAAAGAGCCCTTTCTGTCAGTCTGTGAGCTAAGTCACCCCAGCATTGCAGCGCTCAGGTTTAATTGCAGTGTTGGCACTTTGTGATGAATAAGTGATTCTGGATTGTAGTTTGGGCACTCGGTCTCTAAAAGGTTCGCCATCACTGCTATAGACTGTTATGTTGTTCCATCAGTGCGGTGCTTTTTCCTTCACTTGGAATGTTATTCCCCATCTTCTGCACCCAGTGAGCAACTACTTTAAAATCTAAATCAAACATCTCTGCCCACACTTGTATTCTGAAACCTAAAGTACAGTACCACAGTGTGGTAGTTAATTCCTGTGTCTGCTCTGATAGAGTGAGTGCTAGGAATGCAGGGACTTCATACTTGGCTCTGAGTCCCCACTAAGGGACTGCCTAATATAATCTAGTATAATGTCTAGCACTTACTAAGAATTCAGTAAATGCTTGACCAATTAATTATGTGAAGGGCACTATGTGGCTCTTTCTGTCAAAAAGAAAATTCTTCTGCTGGTCTGCTAAACAGTCTACTTGGTAAAAGTTCTCTCCTCTTTAGTTATTCCTCTAGATAATAAAGGTTATAACACTTTCTGATGACAAGATATGCATCTTTTTTTTCTTTATTCATGTTAGTCTTATGCCTGGCACTTAGTAAGTGCTCAAGTCTCCAAGGATTACATGGAGAATTATTTCAATCATCTAAATTACCCAAAAATAAGAGTAGAGTTAAAGGGGGGGGGATAACATCTAACAAGAACATTAAGTCCTTTTCTTCTGGAATTAGGGTTCATTGGTATTTTATTCTGTGTGTGTGTGTGTGTGTGTGTGTGTGTGTGTGTGTGTGTGTGTGCTGGTAATTGAACCTAGAGTTTTGAACAGACTAGGTATGCCCCTAAGCTATGCGCTCTCTGAACATTCTCGATTTGTCAAAATAGAAAAAAAAAAAAAACCACTAAGTAACCAAATGCTTTTCATGTTAGAATTCAAGTGCTCAATTCCAGACTCTCAGACTTAAAACTTATTTATCTGTAATACTTCCTATAAGCTCTTGACTAGAACTTGGGAACAACAACAACAACAAAATCCAAATGTTACCATGGATATAGCCCCTGCCTGGCAAGCACAGGGTCATGAGTTCCGTTCGCTATACCAAAAAACTAAAACAAAAACAAAACGAAACAAAAACTCCAAGTGTTAAAACTATACAAAATCAAAACAGCCAAAACATTTTGCCCCTAAAGATAGTCTACAGGGTATATGCATTTATACTTTGAAAGAAAAAGCGTATACATTCTCTTAATGGAGAGTGGAAGAAACTGTAAGGACAATGAGTTTGACTTCCACCTAACCAGTGCTTTCCCAAATCATTGGAATGAAACCAACAATTATGAAATAAACATGAACACCTCCCTGGATAGTATTTTGGTACAGTTTAAACATATTACTATGCCCTGTACTCCGGAGTAGTTAACTTTTGGAATGGGACTAGAGAAAGAAAATTGATGCAGAAATTGATGCAGAGCAATGTGTACCATTATGATTATTTAACCCAGAGAAGCAGGGCCACCAATTCTGACCTTCACCAGACCATTTCCACTTGGAAAGGTAAGTGGAATTCATTTTCAGCAACCTTACCCATAAATTCACAAAACAGGATAGCACAAGGGTTTTGTAGTTTAGTAGAAAGGCCATGTGACAATATGTATAGCTAGATGTTTTCTAAACTTGAGAATCATTTAAATTTCACTTGTTACTTTTTTTTTTTTTCCTGATACCAGGGATTGAACTCAGGACCTTGCACTTGCCAGGCAGGTACTTCTGCCACTGAGCTAAATCTGCATCCCTCATTAAATTAACTGTTACTTTTAAATTGATTCATATAAATATTTTTACTTAAATGTATTTCCAAAAGCCAATTATAACTCTTCAAACAAAAACCAGCATCACTTGCATTAAGTAGAAACAAATCCACTGTAGTAAGTTTGTGAACATGAAAGTTATTAAATTTTAGCTGAATGCACTTTTTGCCCACTGAAGAATGAGAAATGTATTAAAGATCACTAACTTTGGAACCCACCCTGATAAGACTGAAAAGGGAATAGCTTTTCCATCCTAAGACATCATTTAATGCCATGTTTCTGTACCACTAGAAGTTGTTTTGTTCCCAAAACCTTGCAGAAGCCAAATTTTCCACCCACTCCAGACATTATGCTCCCCAAAATGATGTAATTATTTCTCTCTCTGTCTCTGGTAAAGCAGGCAAAATCTTAGCCTTCATCGACTCATAAAAAGTTTTATAAAATTATCAACATTCCAAACAGCTGATCCTTGCAGGCTAAAACTACTTTGCTTCCATTTACTTTTTTTTTCTTTCTTATTTATTTTTCTGGAAAGGAAGAAATGAGGAAGCCCCCGTAGCACAGACCGGAAACAATGAAAAAGTGGACTTTTTCTCCGAAGGCACTTACTTGGCAGAGACTTGGGCAGCCAGCAAATTGCTGGGGTCTGATCCCTACTAGAGAGGGTGACTCTTCTTCACCATCCCAGAGCCTGGGGTGCCATCAGAGGAAATGGACTGCTGGGTCTCGGGCGCGGAAGCTGCAGCCTCAGGTATCTCCCGAGATAGTTTCTGGCTGGGTAGTGGCAGAACCTCAAAAGCCTGAGCAACCAGCACCTTAGGAGGAACCTCCAGGTTGCTTGAAGACTGACTTCGAGAAATATCCTGGACTAAACAGGTGTTGTGGGAGGCCTGCTGAGTGGGAAGCAGGAGCTGAAAGTCCTGGCCAGCCTGTGAGATCTGTGGCTCCACAGCCTGAAAAGGCATCACTGGGACCTGGGTGCCCATAGACTGGCTTCCAGATGCCTCAACAGTTGGAGGCTGTGTTTGAAAAGCCCAAGGAAGACTCTGTAGCTGGCTCTCAGAGGCCGCATGAACCTGGAAGGGACTCTGAGGAGCCATAGGCACCACTGGGTGGTTCTGAAAGGTGATGGGTGCTCGAGGATGGGTCGTCAAAGAAAGGGTAACTGGAGGCTGGCTCTTAGAGGCCACAGCTTCATCAAGCTCGCTCTTAGAAGTAGTGAGAGGAGGCTGAACAGAGACCGAGAGGGCCACAGAGGGACTCTTTGAGGCCAGGTCAGCAGAAGGCAGGGGCCAGTCCAGAGGGGATGGAGGGAGCGAAGACTGCACCAGAAGACTCACCCCACCGCCAGCTTCAGGGCCTGGGGAGCTGACTGCCTCTGGACTGTTGCCATTTTCAAACTTTGGGCCCAGATTCTCTTTGCAGATATCTTGAGGATCGCCAACGTCCTTGACGCCTTCCTTTTCGTCTTTGTCCTTTCTCTCGTCTTCCAGATCCGCCCCGGTCACGTTCAAGTTACCCCTCCTCTTCAGAGACCTTAGGCGCCGATGCTGGAGCAGGGTGTTGGAGAGGTTCCCGAAGGTCCAGGAGAAGCGGTGGCTCACGCTCCGACTCAGAGATTCGACCGTGGGGCCGGCAGGCATATGGATGCTCCTCTTGGACGCCTCTTCGGGAAGCAGCTCTATGTTGCCGGTGTACCAGGAGATCCACCACAGCAGGCTGAAGAAGATGATGATGGAACCCAGGTACAGCAGCATGTCATAGAAGAGCAGGTCTGCAAAGACGCCAGTGAACAGCACCGCCACGCCCACCGTGTCGAAGACGACGCCCAGCCAAAAGAAATGCTTGCAGCGGCCCAGGCTCGGCCGCTTCCCGGTGGTTTGGATGCTGGTTCTTGAAGGCTCCATAATCTCCCACAGTCGCAGCCACAACTTCAGTCCGTAGGAGGCGACCAGGCCCGCTGAACAGCCGAAGGACAGCTGTACCGCTGGGTCCCCATGGCAACGCAAGGGGCAGGGCGAGAGGAGAGAAACTAGGCCCCACCCTAGCCCAGCGGGAGAAAAAAAGGCGTTGGCTAGGAGAGACGCGCATGCGTTGTATCCTCTCCCACCCCGCCTTCTGCGCTTGCGCAGTGTTTTCCACAGGGCCACTCCGTGCTCCTTCAGTTTGGGGTAAAATTATCCCTCCCAGGGTGAGGGCATGGGGTCTTTTCTCCGCAGCTGGGGACAGGGGTGGTGTATGTGGACTCCTCCTGCGCCCTACGTTCCTGAGACCCTAAAGAGAGCAAAGGGCAGACTTCCCTCCTGTAATGTCCTAACTACTGGATTGCTGGTATCCAGGTAGCCACTTCCTAAAGTGCATAAATTAGGGTCTATGATTAGGTTTTGTTTTGGTTTTTATTCTCTTTGTAGTGAGAAACTGAATCTAGGGCGTTTCCCCTGTGCTGCAATCTGAGCCCTATATATTTTGAGACAGGGTCTCCCAAAGTCACTCTTACTGGATAGAATGTGTAGCCTTAATTTTTAAAAATTTTATTCAAGACAGGATCTTGCCATGTAGTATAGGCTGACCTTGAACTAGCAGAGATCTTCCTGCCTCCCAAGTATTGGGCACCATGTCTGACAGGAATCTTAATTCTTGTTTTAGCTTTCTGCCTCCAAGATGACTGTTAACCTCCTGGTTCTAGGTAACAGCAGAAGATATGTATAGAAGGACCATACCTGGATATCATGGATATCAAGCTATGTGACAAACCAGTAGTCATTATCAGGCCAAATGGGGGGGAAAGTAAAGGGATTCTCCCTAAAATCAGGAATGTGACAAGGATGTCCACTATTATTATAGGCAGTTAAGTTAGAAAGAAATTAGTGTATGGTTAGAAAGGGACTAGGTGCTCAAGGAAATCAGCAGGAAAAAATAAAGATATCAGAATTGTGGCTGGAGGTACATCTGAAGAAGATCAGACTTCAAAATAAAGACGCAAAGGCTAGCCTATGTACCTCCCTAAGGGATAAGTAGTAACTTGAAATTAACAGCACTTGGTCCAAAAGGTCCAGATGGGAATCAGTCACCCAAGTGGATGACCAGAAGGACCCATCCTTTCCCCAAAATGCCTTTGTTTTTTCCAAGTATCCTTGATATGTGACCTGCTTCCATATTAGATCAATATTAGCTAAGCAGCTTGATTATAGTTTGACCCACATTGTACCTACATTGTGTCTTTGCTGTATAAAGTACTCCTGATAAAGGGCCTTGGTGACCACCCATTTTTGGGACTCTATTTCTCAATAAATATTTCCTACTCTTAACTTCCATTGTTCTTTGGAATTCATTCTTTGCTTTTTTTTTTTGTAACAGGGATCGAACTCATGACCTTGCGCTTGCTAGGCAGATGCTTATGCCGCTGAGCAAAATCCCCAGCCCCATTTGCTTTTGTAAAACATGAACTTGGCATAGCTCCTTAGCTCCTGTATCACTATTACCTTTTCTTTTCTTTCTTCTTCTTTTTTTTTTATCTTTTTGAGACAGGGTCTCACTGTGCAGTTGAGATTGGCCTTGAGCTCATTTTGTAGTTCAGGCTGGTCTCGAACTTGCAATGATCCTCCTACCTCAGCCTCCCAAGTGCTGGGATTACAGGCATGTGCCACCATACCTGGCTTACTATTGCCTTTTCTATTCAATATAGTACTTGAAACATTATCCAGAGCAATTAGGCAAGAGAAAGAAATAAAAGAGTACATATAGGAAAGAAAAAACTCAAGTTAGTATTATTTGCAGATGACATGATACTCTACATAGAAGACTCAAGAAACTCTACCAAAAACTCTTATAATTAATATCAAGCTGTAGCAATGTAGCAGGATACAAGCTCAACACAAAAAAATTAGTATTTGTGTGCACCAATAATAAACAGAATGGGAAGAAAATTAAGAAAAGAATACCATTTACAGAAGCTTCAAGAAAAATAAATATCTAGGAGTTAACCTAAGTAAGGAAGTGAAAGAGCTCTACAAAGAAAACCACAGTATTCTGAAAAAGGAGATTGAAGAGGACATCAGCAAATGGAATGATGTCCCTTGCTCCTGGACAGGCAAAATCAATATTGTCAAAGTGACCATACTTTAAAAACTCTATCACAAATTCAGTGCAGCCTCAAGCAAAATACCAACAGTGTACCTTATAGATCTAGAAAAAACAGTCCTAAAATTCATTTAGAACCAGAAGAGACCCAGAATAGCAAAAGCAAGTTTGGACAACAAGAACAAAGCAGGAAGCATAACAATACCTCTCTTCAATCTATACTACAATGCAGTAGTGATAAAAATGGCATGATCCTGGAATGAAAACAGATACGTGGATCAATGGAACAGAACTGAGGATACGGAAACTTCTCAAGACATTCTCAAGACATTTGCTCTTCAACAAAGAGACCAAAAGCATATGTTGGAGGAAAGATCACCCAGTGGTGCTGGGAAAACAGGTTATCTGTGTGCAGAAGATTGAAATTGGGCCCTTATCTCTCATGGTATACTAAATTAAAATAAAAATTGATCAAAATGGATCTGAGCAGGATATAAGATCAACACACAAGAATGGATCAAAGATCTAAACATTAAAATGTTAAACCTACTAGAAGATAAAATAGGTAAAACACTTAAAGACATAGGTGTAGGAAAGACAAGAGAACCTCAATCATACAAGAAATAATACAATAAAAAATGTGATTGTCAGACTGAAAGCTTTTGTATAGCAAAAAAATCAATCAGTAGATTGAAGGAACCTACAATTTTTTTCCATAGGACTAATATGTAGAATATACAAAGAACAAAAACAAAATAAAGAAACAGGCACGAGAAATGATAGGTGCTTCACAATTAAAGAAATACAAATGGATAACCAACATATGAAAAAATATTCTGTATCTCTGGTCATTAAAAAAATGCAAGCTAAAACAATGCTAAGATTCCAGTTGACTCCAGCAAGATGGCAATCTCTAAGAAATCAAACAATTACAAATTCTGGCATGGCTATGGTGAAAAAGGAACCCATTTTATTGCTATTAGGAATATAAACTAGTTCAATCATTATGGAAATTAGTATGGAATTTCTCAAGGAACTGAAATTAGAAATTTCCTATGAGGAACTCCAGTGGTGCAATTGTTTAGCACATGGTACTTATACAGAAATTCCATATGATCTAGGTGTTTTCCCCAAAGAGCTTAAGACATCACACTACAATGATACATGTGTTTATAGCAGCACAACCTGTACTAGTTACATTCCTAGAAGCTGCCTGTACACTCATCAAGAGGTGACTGAATAAATAAAATGTGATATATATATATATATATGAATACCAGTCTGCTATAAAGAATAATAGATTTGAGACATTTGTAGGAAAATGGATGCACCTGGAAAACACAAAGTTGAGTGAAATAAACCAGACACACAATCTTAAATACTATATGACATCTCTCATTTGAATGAGGCAAAGTACAAACAAAGAGAACAATAAAGGATGGATAGAATAGACCGGGGACAGATCTCTTGCAATAGAGAAGTGGTCCAAGGGAAAAAGCATGATGAATGAGGAGGAAGGGAAGGAGAAAGAAGTAGAATAAAGATATGCCTTATGCAGAAACCTAATATCCTCAGTTAATGTAAACACGATATGCCATAACACAAGCTAAGATTAATAATATCACAAGAATGAAAAATGTGATCAGAGAATTTGAGGAGGAGGGAGGGAAGGAGATTTAAAAAAAAGAAACATGCTGTAGTACATCAAATAACCACTCCCCAACATGACTGTAAACTATATGAGCTAAGAAAATGTACCAATAAAATTTAAAAGCTTTTTAAAGACACGTGAGCATTCAAGTAGTATTGACAAGAAACTCTAAATGCAGTATGCCCTTGGTTCCTTAGTTGTGTAGAATTGAAAAAAAAAACATAAATTTTATAGTTTAAAACTATTTTTTAAAGAATAGATATATGTGACTGGATGTAAAGGTGCATGCCCATAATCCTACCACTCTGGTTGGCTGAGGCAGCAATTCAGCTATTTGCCAAGACTCTGTTTCAAAAAATTTTTTAAAAGGGTAGTGGGTAGACCAGTGGATGTGGGTAGTGTACAGAACAGAGATTCATTTCCAGTACCAAGATGCATTGTATGTGTTGGAGGGCTGGTGGCTAGGCTTATAGAAAAGTTACAAAGATAATACAGAGAGTTTCCTTACACTCCACATAAATAATGTCTGTCCTTTATTTGTTGCTTAGCATGGGAAATCTACGTACAGTGAAACACAAAAATATAGTACCCCCCACACACTTTACAGTATTACTGCACACTATTTTCTTTCGTTTTTCTTTTCATTTTTGTTGGTATTTGGACAAAGTCTCACTATGTAGTTAGGCTGGCCTTCAATTTACTATATAGCTCAGGCTGGCCTCAAACTCATGGCAACCCTGCCTCGGCCTCTCAAGTGCAGGAACTACAGATGTGCACCTCCATGCCCAGCTACTGTACACCATCATACTGTCCATTGAGCACACAACAGCACAGCTGTGACAATGTTCAGCAGACACGTGAGCTACTTTCACTATTTTTCTTTACTAATGTTCATAATGTGAGGTCCATTCTTATCTGTGAAAGCTCGAAACTCTTACACTCCTAAACTGGAGACTCACTAGGCAGAGATATTTTCTGGTGTTTTTTCATCACTGAAAAAAAGACTGGATAAGAATATCATTGACATAGAGTTCTTTTTTCTGTATTGGTTTTCTTAGATTTAAAGGGCCACTAGCCAATGTTAATGTGGGTGATGAGGTCCAAAATATATTCCCATGTTCTTGGGCACAATGAACAAAAAATTGGATATTGAACACATGGTACAGAAAAAAGCAGCTAAGTTTAATAAAGTTTAAAGGGGGAAACTATGCTCAGAACTAGCAGGCTCACACTGGTGGAAAGGAAAACGGCAAGAATGGAAAGGAAGAATAGCACAGGCACTGAATGGATTGGGTTTAAGGATTTGAAATGGGTGCCGGGCGTAGGGCACCTCTCATTTGGGCCTTTCTGCCCGTGATTGATA